GATTGGCTAACAAATTACAAGGTCTGCTATGATTGGCCGAGTGATTAGACAGCCACCGTCAGCCTCGTCCCTCCGTGAACCTAAATAAAAGATAAACTATATGTTGTGGTGTTTAGTGCTGGTCAGTACTGAAGAACAGGAGACGTAATATCTTTTAGGAGATGTTCACTGTTTACGTAACAAATGCGCGTCTCACAGTGAAATATTAGTGTCTGCGAAGCCGAAGCTCCTCAACGTTGTCCATCTTTGTTTAATGACACGCCTCTTTTTTACCGACCAATCAGAACGTCTGCTGAGGCCTTATTAAACCTCTGGAAGCACAGCAGAGGCAGTGCCGCATTAGAGCAGCAGCGCCTCCCCCAGGCTGCACCCTGCTATCACAGTATATCGTGAATCTGAAGACGCGATGGCACAGCTGAACAATGAATGAGAATAAATTATAGATGATTTGACCCAGAGCCGCAGAGAGAGAGAGAGAGAGAGTCGCGTCATCTCCATTCACTCCAAAGGACCGTTTGTTTCCAGCAATGGCGGATCATGGAGCCCATTGATAGACACACCTGGATGCAGCGCTGAGTCCAGACAGGCACGTCAACGACGCCGCCATTTTGGTGCGGCCAACATCGCTGCTGGACTGCATTCAGTACCATTACAGAGCGGCAGTTTAAGAAAGATACTGTCCAAAATTACACTATTTCAGGAATATTGACTCAGAAAGTGGGAGAGGATTATATAACGGAGGGAACGAAGTGATCCACACTCATGTCTGTGTGATGTCGATATGGCCGTGTGGTTAATGAGGCACAGAGAACCTGTTGATGTGATTGTTTTTTCTCTGGTTTTATATTAAGATTATTTCATTTAATAGTCTATTCAGGGGGTCTTAACGTCATGTAGTATTTACTTTTTTCCGTTCCACCTTAAATGGTGCAGCAGCCGGCATCTTGTTAGAATTTTCTTGTTCCACCTTAAATGGTGCAGCTTCAGGCACCAGAAAGTGACTGCTGCACCATTTAAGGTGGAACGGGAAAACTCGAACAAGAAGCTGGCGAATAGGAAGCCAACATCAGCTTCGTCCTTCACCCGCTAGTTCACAAGAGAATCTTGACCGCTCCAACATGGCGGACGCGCAGACGTATCGCCTCACATAGAGAATAACGGACAGCGCGGCACCTCGGAATGGACGTCTATGATGGAGCCGCTCAATGGTTCCCGGAAGTTGGCATCAAATACTAGCTGCGCAGCCGAGTTCCCGCAGAATAGACCGGTTGTGAGGCCGTTTTATAGGATAAGACATTTAAAGAATCAGTTTGTATGTAAAAATCTACGGTAGAACATTTCGATAAGGTAGCTCAGCTCGTCAGAGAGTTACAGCAATATTAAGATTAGTCTCCCATAAAGAGAAAATATATATATTTCAAATATATTTTTGCAATATATGAAAATGGCCATAAACGTATTTCTTAAATATGTGTTTGAAATGCATTTATTTGTTATTATATTTTTCAATTGTATGTAATTTTAATAAAGGTTAAAGATGTAACTAAATATGCATGAACTGAATGGACGGGACTGACCGCTGTGTTTTGCGTTCTACTTTGCATTAAGACTCACACAAAATGTATATCAAAGAAACAAGATACCAAATCAAACTACATTTTACAGTGTATCAATATCTACAACACCGGCTTTGTCCAGTTAAAGGTCCATTTACCAACATTTACAACTAAGATACTGGAGCACAAATTTACTTCAAGAGGCGGCCACTAATAAAAGTGTCCACAAAGTGGCCACTTCTGCCCGTCACCCCGCACGCAGAGATCCGACTCCTACTGTGTGAGAATAGTCCACCAACCAAAAATATCCAGCCAACAGCATCCTGTGACCACTGATGAAGGACTAGAGGATGACCAACACAAACTGCAGCAGCAGATGAGCTATCGTCTCTGACTTTACATCTGCAAGGTGGACTGACAAGGTAGGAGTGTCTAAGAGTGGACAGTGAGTGGACACAGTGTTTAAAAACTCCAGCAGCACTGCTGTGTCTGATCCACTCAGACCAGCACAACACACACTAACACACCACCACCACATCAGTGTTACTGCAGTGCTGAGAATGATCCACCACCCAAATAGTACCTGCTCTGTGAGGGTCCGTGGGGGTCCTGACCACTGAAGAACAGGGTAAAAGGGGGCTAACAAAGTATCAGAGAAACAGATGGACTACAGTCTGTAACTGTAGAACTACAAAGTGCACCTATATAGTAAGTGGAGCTGATGAAATGGACAATGAGTAGAAACAAGGAGGCGGTCATAATGTTATGCCTGACCGGTGTAGGTGTCCGGTTTTTACTCGGTTGCTTGTTAACTAACCTGGTTACGTTTGGGTTTAACATGAGGCAAAGAAAAGCTGACGTTAGCTTGCTGACAAGCAAACTATTCATCTTCATAGTGAAAGTGAATGAGCGACAGATCATAGAGCAATTTTATCTCTCCAGTTTCCTCAACCTAGACAGAAATTAAGAGGCAGCACTCCTTCGAAGACGAGACAGATGAGATCATACCAGTTAAAACAAAGATAGAAAGAATCTGAGGGAGACTGACGGGCTGAATGGACAGGTTGTGTCCTCTTACATGTTGTTCCTTTAAGTAAACGAGTATAGAGGAAATGATAGATACACCTGCGGCACAGTGAAAGACGGGAGAAGACAAATGAAAACCACCTTCAGAGCAGTACTGGGTTGGTACTTTATTTCACTCACACATGAAAAATGAAGCCATCATTCAATAACCTGTCAAAATAAGTTGATTACAAGAAATTATTGGAAACTGAAAAGGGCATTAAAAGAATAAACAAAAAAAGAAAACCTGAAAACGATATTTCAGAGAGATCCTAATCCTCATGGCAGGGAAATGTGCTGACGACAACTCAATAAACAAAACAGCAACAAAAAGGCCGGCAGACAGAAAACAAGCGATAGAATAATTATGACTCAAGAAAATAAGATTCCTGAAGCCAGTCTGAGATTAATACAGACAAATGAGATGCAATAAGGATAAACAAATGCAATATATGCAACTTATATTTCTGTTTCCAACAGGACCATTTCAGCTGAAGACCTGAAGAGCATTATGTCTTACACAGTGTGTCCAAGCAAATCTGAATTCACATATTGCCTGAACTTTTCCTGAAGTGCATTTGAGCAAACGACAGTCATTTATAAAACTCTGAAATGGCTGAATAATTATGTGTATAGGTCCATATACATCACAGTACCTTCTTTCAGACAATTCTACGATGACCAGACGGTCTGAAGAGGAATGTGATTCTATTGCTTGAAGCACGCATTTTCCAATGATCCAGTAGCTACACTGAGAAGTGAAACAGCGTTTGAGCATAAAACTCAGTCACGTCCTCAAAGACCTTAACATGAAAAACTCATACCTACTTTCAACACAAATTACAGATTTATGGTAGAACATACACAGCTTAATGTAAAAAACTCATACAGTCTTCATGCAGTCGGAAGGAGTCTACGATAAAGGGCGTGTAGTACCTCATGCCCAGTGGAGCTTTCCTGTCCATTTCGAACTGTGATTCTTGAGACACGGTACAATCCCAACGACTTACCATTTGCAGCTGAGCAACTGTGAAGTCTGAGACTTGGGCCCAGTCCCATTTCTTCTTTTTACCCCTAGCCCTTGTTTTCAAGTGTCACCCTAACCCCTTGGAACAAGTTACAAAGGGTAGTGGTTGAAATCTTGGCTTACGAAACGGGACCCTCAAATAAAAACAACAAAACATCGCTTCATTAACGCTACTAGTGCTGCTCTGTAGGCGACCCTGCCCGTCTGCAGTGACAGCAGAGGAGGGTAAAGTTCAGCTCCTCACTGCTGGGCTTTAGTTACATTTAGGGACTCATATGCCTTCAAAGAGGGGGGGCAATTATTTATTATCACCCACCCCTAATTCTTCAGTGAAGTCAGATATTCTCCAGATTCTTGTTCAAATTTTCCCGTTCCACCTTAAATGGAGCAGCAGTTACATTCTGGTGCTTCAGGCATCAGAACTGCTGGACTATTTAAGGTGGAACGGGAAAGTTAGCAAGCTGGCTACCGAGACATTAGCATGCTATTAGCATTTTTTTATGCTTGTTATGAAGAAAACGACCAAAATACACTGAAACGGCATTAAACTAAGATAAAACAGTGGATATTGTGATTTTTACAGAGGAAATTCTCACATTTGTGGGTTTCTTTGGTCTCTTGTTCTCCGTCTCGCCGGTTTTTCTTTTTTTCTCACAACTGTCTGTTTGGAGGCTCTGAAAAACCTCCGTTTGGAGGGTCATGTAGCCCCAACACTGCACCCTCCCCCTCTATCTCAAGAAGAATCGGGACACCCTACTCCTAGATGTGAACGCACAAACCAGAGGGCTAAGGGCTCGGTGGTAGGGGCGAGGGGTGAAATGGGACTGGGCCTTACACTGGTCTTGAAATAGGACAGCTGGTGGATTATAATGTCATCATATCACTATTGGCTACAAAACGGAGCAAATATATCCTCTTTAAGGAGTGAACACAGTTTGCAACCCATCCCTGGGTTAAAGTTGGCACATGAATGTAAGTGCAGTCGTATAAAAACCTTATCTACAATTGACTAAATAATTAAAAAAAACAAAAAAAACACACTCAAGCTCTGTGTTATCTGGAAAGCACAATCAAGACGCCACCCCAAACGGTAATGCGTACAGAGGTGTAACAGGACAGTAGTCTTCTGCGAAGTACAGAGTGAAATTGACAATGATCAGCTGACACAGCTTGTGTCCAAGTCCTATTTACAGAAGCCCTGAAGGGTAAGATGGAAAAAAAGTAAAGTCCGTTTCTGAGTCTGAGCTCCAATTTATTTATTTATTTATTTATTTATTTATTTATTTTTAGCATCACCTGCACAATTCAGTCATTAAAAAAACTACATTTTACCCTCAATTACCACAATTCAATTCATTAGGCAATCAAAATTGTTCAGTGGTTGTTTTTTTTATAAACGTTGCTTATTACAGCTGTGTGAGAAATCGTCAGCTTATTAAGTGACAGTAGGAGATCATTAATGATAGTTACATACTATCCCAGCCATAGCTATTACCCTAACTGCCCCCTGCTGGTCAAAGCTGGTGTAACATGCTAAGTGTTGGCCAAGGTGCAAGTGATGCTAAAAATACTGGGCTGGTTTTGGTATAACGTATGTGTAAAATATGTGTCTGTTTGCCCTGCGATGGACTGGCGACCTGTCCAGTGTGTATCCTGCCTTTCACTCAATGACCACTGGGATAGGCTCCAGCTCCCCCCGTGACCCAGAAGGCTAAGTGGTTTAGAAAGTGTGTGTGTGTGTGTTTGTTATATTATAAAAGCAGAAAATATGAATTAAGTGGAACTGTGACTCAGGAAATGACTTTTTCCATCTCACCCTTCAGGTCTTCCAAACATATAACATGATGCAACTCAAAAAATTTTATGTGAAACAAAATAAAAAAAAAACAAAATGCACAGAGCGACGCTAACAAAAATAAACTTTTTGTTAAAACCAAAATATTAAATATACAAGTGGGTCCAGTAAAAACTAATTTCCCTCCAAACCTTTTCAGTTCCCAGAGATTCTGAACAATTTGGATAATGCAGTACAATTTATACACCTTTTTTTTTTTCCTTTCTTTTCACCCCCCCCCACTAGCCTTGCTCTGCACTCTACTTCCATGTCCCTCCATGAGGTGCAGTTCCTACTATGCCAGAGTATGGCATTCCAATCAGCTCCCCCTTGTGGTCACACAGCAGTACAACAGCGGTTCTCAAACAGCTGCTCGATGACCGTACTGTCTGCCAGCGTGGACACGTCTCCCAAGTCCCGCTGGTTAGACGCTATTTTGCGTAGCAAACGCCGCATGATTTTACCTGCGGAGAACATTTTGACAGTAAGTCATTTCCTAAGAAATATAAATGAGGCTGAGAACAGCATATAAACAAACACATGGCAAAAGGGGTTATGCTGGTACCTGATCTAGTTTTGGGAAGCCCAGGTGCATTTTGTATATAGTCCGGTGTAGCTATGGCACCAATCTTCTCTCTCACTGTTCAACAGAATAAAACACAATCGCAATAGTTAGAACTTTATGGTTGCGTTTTGCACAACTGTACATTAACTACACCTTAAATCCCTGAAATATTTAGTGTGTTCACAAGTACAGCGATAAACCAGTCTCACCCCAGCTGAAGGTAATACTCTGACCAAGTAAAGATGTACCTGACTAATCAGGTAAAGGCTCATCAATAAGTCTACCTCCATGAACACACATATCTCCAATACTTTGACTAATCTGGACATTTAAACAGCTTTCAATCAATCAACCAAATCAAATGAGGGATTGAGAAGTTGGGTAGTAAACAGAAATCAAATATTATAATAAAATAATAAAAATCGTAAAATCGTACAAAAAATAGTAAAATTGAACAATAAGATGGTACCAATAAACCGTTAAATCAATAAACCATTACAATTACAATATAGTAACTTAACAAATAACACATCAGATAAGGATAAAATAAATAAAAACATGAATGAATGAAATAAAAAGAAATGGAAGATGTATAAAGATGCTATAGATGTATAGGTGTATATAGAATAAATTGACAATAATAAAATAATAAAGAGAATACTAATAAAAGAAATTAAAAGGAATAAAATGTAAAAGAATAGCTAAAACATTAAAAGTCGAGTAAAATCAAATAAACTGGGTTTCTATCTCTTTTCAAAGGATCCATTTCCTACATTCTTCTTGTTGTTCATTTAATTTTCCCCCCCACTTATGGTGTTTGTATTGTACCACAGGCATCATTAATTTTTACATGACCATTTTCCAACCTCTTTTTATCCTTTACAATTGAACAGGCTGTTTCATTATTGTACCTTTAAGTGTGTTATATGCAAACGCTCTCTGCTGTTATTGGCTCCCCTGTTTTGTGCAGTATTCAGTAAGCAGTCTGGGCTGAAACGCTCCACAGCTGTGTTCTAAAAGCTGGGCTGCAGCCGAGAAAGGTGGGTCTTTGGTAGCACTGTCCTATGAAGGTTGCTTTTTTTTTTATTAGCAAATGCAAACCACGCGGTCTACAAAGGCTTTTTGGTTATGTTCACACAGCAGGTAAAAGTGGCCCAAATCTGATTCTTTTGTTTGGCTGTTCACAAAATCTTTTAAATGTGATCTGTATGCGACATCAGTCTGAACACATCAGCTCCTAAACTGACCCACATGCTCAAAAGAACAGAGGCTCATCCAGAGGTAAAGAATCACGACCGCCAACGAACGCCAGTCGCTCCCGGAGGATCAGCTTCATCTTCACCAGCATCACAGGAGCCATCATGAAGCTTCACTGACTGACAGATGGGCTCATCACCCAGAATGTGTTCGAGCCGTAAAAAGGGTGCGGTCACTTCTTTGGTCGCGTCCTCGGATTCTTTAAACTTTGCTTTCAGACTTTTAACTGTTCTTTGACGCTGCAGCCTCGTTCTCCTGCGGCCGCGTTCGGACATTTCATTAGAAGTCTCTTCAAACACGGAGGGTTTCGGATGAGTCTCTACTAATTTTTGGTGCAGAAAGATCAGCCCAAATGTTTATGAGACTCAGCAGCGCAAAATTGCGACAGATGTCGAGTTGGATTGACGAAAAAAGAAGTCACATGAATTCCAATCTGGCTGTTCAGACTAAGTCGTGTACCACATATGAAAGCGTCTCAAATCGGAACTGAAAATGTCAGATTCAGTGTGTTTCTGTTCACCCTGACACACAGACACACATCTGTGTCACATATAAAGAAAAAGATCAGATTTGGGCCACTTTTACCTGCTGTGTGAACAAAGCTATTGTCACATCAGAAAGGAGCCAGTGCACAAAATCTATTGGAGAAAATACTGTCATTAAAAAACATCAGTTTGTCATGAAGCGATGCAGACTATAAGCTGTTAAACTCTTTGACAACATGTGCATTTCACACCCTGCATTCAATTTACACCCTTTTAAACAATCAGAACTAAAGAAATACTGTTCTGTATATCTTACAGTATATGTTATTAGCCTTTTTAAACAACTTGTAGTAGTTGGTTTCCCTCTAACAGTGTTTCTCCTGCACTATTATTGGGTCAAATATGTGCACCAAGGATCATGGGTGACTAAACTGTGAAGGATACTCCAGTAGTTACCGTCGAGGCCACCGGTGCATTCAAATTCGGCACCACCCGCAAACAGTTTCACAAGCTAGTTCTCAGTAGAGAAGTATAAAGGGAAGGTGGACGAAGGGTTACCGCTGAAACGTTTACACAAAATCGTTCATTTAACTGTTAATAGAGAACAAGTTTGCCACAAATGTTCTCCACTTCCCCCTCCGCTCCATCAGAGCGCATCTTCTCTGCAGAGGGGAGTATCTGCTCTCAGAGGAGAACGAGACCCTCACAGGAGATTATAAATACTTTGTTAGCCCCCTTTTAGCCTGTTCTTCAGTGGTCAGGACCCCCATGGACTCTCAAAGAGCAGGTACTGTTTGGGTGGTGGATCATTCTCAGCACTGCAGTAACACTGACGTGGTGGTGGTGTGTTAGTGTGTGTTGCGCTGGTCTGAGTGGATCAGACACAGCAGTGCTGCTGGAGTTTTTAAACACTGTGTCCACTCACTGTCCACTCTATTAGACACTCCTACCTTGTCAGTCCACCTTGTAGATGTAAAGTCAGAGACGATAGCTCATCTGCTGCTGCACAGTTTGTGTTGGTCATCCTCTAGTCCTTCATCAGTGGTCACAGGACACTGCCCACAGGACGCTGCTGGCTGGATATTTTTGGTTGGTGGACTATTCTCAGGCCAGCAGTGACACTGAGGTGTTTAAAAACTCCAGCAGCACTGCTGTGACTGATCCACTACAGTCTGTAACTGTAGAACTACAAAGTGCACCTATATAGTAAGTGGAGCTGATAAAATGGACAATGAGCATAGAAACAAGGAGGTGGTCATAATGTTATCCCTGATCGGTGTATTTTCCAGCTCTAGGTTTAAGCTGCAGCTGTGCTGTCCGATAGGTGGCGCCATTTACAACTATTAGATGAACGCTGGTCTCAACCAGATAAGTCACATGATGTAAACAGAAACCGCTCAGTTTTAGACAAATTTCCTTTTCAGTTGAATTCTGATACCAAGAATCTCTCAAGCTGCCAAACAAGCAAAGCCTTGATATAAACAAGCACAGTAAAAATCAAAACACTGTCAGTGAATAAGATTAACGGACGATTTCCATGTGTCCACACCTTAGAAAGCAAGCCCAGCGTCACTAAAACGGAATCTGAACATACCTGTGAATACAGAGATGCACAAAGACCACACAAACCTTGCTTTCTGAGCTCAGCTTCGAGAGTAGTAGTGTAGTTGATGCCATCTGCGAGTGTGACAAAGCAGTAGAGGCTCTCTCCTTTCACAGGGTGTGGGGTCCCCACCACTGCAGCCTCCGCTACAGCCTCATGCTCCACCAGAGCGGACTCTACCTCGGCCGTGCTCAGCAAGTGACCTGAGAGAGATTCACGAACTATTACTACCATCTCCAAGCGAAAACACAGCAAGTGCAGCAGGACAAACGTCAGTGACATCAGCTCTCACCAGAAACGTTCAGCATGTCATCAATCCTGCCGGTGATCCAGTAGTACCCATCCTTATCTCTACGGCAACCTGAACACATAGTTAAGCATGAGTATCCAATAAATAAATCCATTTCTTTAAAAAATATAAAATAAAATGTCATGTATTTTAATTGTTTTTCCTGAGGTCCACTTATGATATTAGTGTGGATTTATTTATAATTCATAATTCATTTTTACATGACCATTTTCTGACCTCTCTATATCCCTTGGAATTAAGCAGGATGTTTTTGGTACTGTACCTTTAAGACGAAAATATGTAAATACAGCAGAGATGACGAATCTCCTGTATTGTGCTTCAAAAAAGCAGTTTGGACTGAAACACTCCTTTTAACTTTAGTATGAATGGGCAGGGCTAAACTGTTGTAGGCTGAAACAATGAATTCACAATGGGCTGAAATGTTTTTCAGCTGAGACTGCATATATGGACGGTGTGGGACTGAACGGCATGGTTTTGAAACTTTATTATTGTTTATATACACTACATCAAAGTCTTTAATTTTAAAAATGTGAGGAAATGAGGTTTTCATTACATCGGCCCTTTAAGAGTACACCATGCACATAGCCCGATCAACCAATTGCAAACATCCACATTACCATCACCAGTCACGTAGTATCCAGGGAATTTCTTGAAGTAGGTGGTCTCAAATCTCTGATGGTTCCCAAACACAGTCCTCATCACCCCAGGCCAGGGCTGCTTAAATACCTGAAGAAGAGGATGCATCAAATTACACATGCTGTGCTAATGTATGGCCATGTTAATCTATGCTGTTCAATTTCTGCATGCACATAAATAAGGAAAAAAAAACGTTTCCGGATTAAAAAAACGCTGCACAACACTACAATTTGCATAAAGGTACAAAGAGCAGTCGGTCACAGCACAAGTAAGATGTTTAATGTTTAAAAAGCAGCAATACAAAGACAAATTAGTTATAAATTTGGGTAAATCATTAAATGAGTATGAGCGAATCAAAGTGCAATCGGGGCAATTTCTCATTCTGACCCAAATATAAAAAAAGAAAAAAGAAAAGAAAAATGACTATACTACACAGAACTAGACCTTACAATTATGATTTAATTATATCTGTCAGCAAAATCTGCCAAACACTTCTATGAATTGTTATGTAAACCCTTGGCCGTACCGGCCAAAGAGCAGAACTGGGCAAAACACTTTGAAAAAGCAGTGATGGCTGAATACTGAATACACCGTCCTAAACATATTCAGTAATGCGTTCTGTTAGAATACATAAACAGTAAGAAGTATTCTGAAAGTATTCTTCTAAAAATGAAAATGTAGCTGTGTACTGAATACTGCCTTCACAAAATGTAATTTGGACTGAATACAGATACTTGATTTTTGTATTCTGAATACATATTCACACATCCCCAATATTCAGTTCTCAACTCTGCCAAAGAGAATCTTCTGTGATCTTTTGAACACAGACAAAAATAAATAAATAAGTAAGTTTTACTCAACAAAAAGCAGATTTTGGACAGTGCATAGTGTCTAGTCAGCACATTAGGAGAGAAGAACAAGACAAGACAAATCAAGTTTTTTAAGGATGTGTATCAGAAAAAAAAATTTGTTCAAGCCATCAATTCTGATCAAGCTACTGACTTGAAAAATCACTTCAGATTGTGAACATTTGTTGCAAGCAGCTAACTGGGGTTAAAATCGAGGCAAACACTAGCTTAGTGCAGCCCCAGCTTGAACCAAGAGAAGTCAGATTAATAAACATGAAGCCTCTTACCAGGTAGCCCTCGTTTGGTCCCTCCAGCTCCTCACCTGACTCATTCAGAATGGCAGGCACCACCCCAAAAAACGGAAATGTCTACAGACAGAATGAAACACAAGCCAGTGTCATGAGCTCAACAAAGCACAACACTAACACATGTATAAGACTGTAAAATGGTCATAGCAAAAACATTGACTGCATTTAATTTCCCAGAACCACCTGTTTTATATGACTATGTTAAACTGCTTGACTATCACAAATAAACAAACCTGCAAGAGACACTTAAAGCACTTACTGCAGATCCTGGTTTGAGAGGCGTGGCAGCTGGTAGAGGTGTTAGTACGTGTCCTCCCTGAATAATACAAAGGAGAATTCTGTTAAAACATCATCCAGCACACACAAATATTTAATAAAATATTAATGAAATTTATATTAAACAGCTTAAAGAAGGAACAGAAATAGCTTCCTACCGTCTCTGTCTGCCAGAAGGTGTCGACCACAGGGCATCTACCATCTCCAACTACGTTATAGTACCACTGCCAGGCCTCAGGGTTGATAGGCTCACCTACTGTACCCAAGATCTTCAGAGAACTACGCTTATACCTGGGGACACAAACACAGTTTCTAATGGGCTAAAAATGGACACTGTAACAGAATCTCCATACCAAAGTAACAGTATATACTAAACTTCAGAGTATACAATAAACCCAAGAGTATATTACAATACAACCTTTATAGCAGTCATAGTGCGGTCAAGTTTGTACTGTTTAATACTACTGTATTCATTATATTTTCACAGTTACCACATATCCACCTCTAAAACACTGTAGGCCTGTTGTTCACCAGCTAAATTAAAAGCTAAATTTAATAAAGTTAAGCTGCTTGCCAAGTTAAATGCTGTATTTAAGGACTTCTTTGGCTGCAATGTGTAATGTACGTAATAATGTACATGTAATCTATGTAAGGGTCTGGTCACCTGGAAGTGACTGATGTTACACTGAAAAGAACCAAGTGAATCGTGATTTACACCATCACCAATCGAGACAGACTTCTGCTTCCCAAAATGATGGCATCCTTTTATAACCCCATTTCCAAAAAAGTTTGGACAAAATGTAAATAAAAATAGAATACAGTGGTGAGCAAATTATGTAAAATCTATATTTAGCTGAAAATACTAAAAAAGACAACATGAAATTTTGAAACTGAAGTTTTATCGTTTTTTGAAAAACATGCCCATTTTGAATTTGATACCTGTTCTCTGTATGCAAGGGACAAATCCAAAACACAATATTGGATGTCTCTGATCTTTGGGCCCTCAGGCAGCACTACATTAAAAACAGACATGATTCTGTAGTGGAAATCACTGCATGGGCTCAGAAACACTTCTGAAAACCACTGTCTGTGAAAACAGTTCATCACTGCATAAACAAATGCAAGATAAAACTCTAAAACGCAAAGAAGAAACCAAATATAAACAGGATCCAGAAACGCTGCCGCCTTCTCTGGGCCTAAGCTCATTTAAGATTATGTTATCAGCAAACTACAAATACACAGGTGTTGGCAAACATATGCTGCCATCCAAACAACGTCTTTTTCAGGGAGGGCCTTTATGTCGTTTATTTATTTCAGCAAGACAATGTCAAACTACATTCTGTATGTATTACAACAGCATGGCTCTGTAGTCCAGACCTGTCACCACTGAAAACACATTACGAACCAAAAATACAACAAAGACAGAGACCCGAAACTGTTGAGCAGTTGAAATCCTATATCAAGCAGGAATGGGAAAACATTTTACTTTCTAAACTACAGCAGTGTCTCCTCAGTTCCCAAACACTTACAGAGTGCTGTTAAAAGAAGAGGTGATGCAGCACAGTGGTAAACAGGCCCCCGTCCCAACTTTTTTGGAATGTGTTGCTGGCACCAATTTCAAAATGAGCACATTCTTTTTAAAAAACAATAAAACGTTTTTCCAGTTTCAACATTTCAAATATTGTCTTTGTACTATTTTCAATGAAATATAGGATTTACAAGATTTGCTTATCATTGCATTCTATTTTTATTTACATTTTGCACAGCATACCAACTTTTTTGGAAACAGGGAAACAAGTTTGAGAATTTTTCATCCATAGACATAAACCCAGTCAGACACACACTGTAGCTAAACAGCACTGGAGCTGTATCAACATTCTAATATTCTTAGGATTATGAGAGAGATCAGAGCTGTGAAATCCAGAATAAAGCCTTCTGTAATGAACTTACTTGTGGACCGGCTCACTGCCGTATTTCATGAGGAGTCTGATGGCTGTGGGGGCAGTGTAGAACTTGGAGACGTGGTATTTATCCACTATCTCCCACATTCTGCTAACATCAGGGTAGGTGGGCAGACCTTCAAACTAGGAGCAGGGAAGTTAAATGAACATTGGTAATGGCACTCATGCTATTTGATAAGAATTAAGGTCAATCTGGTTCAGCTTGCCAAACTAAGCGTTAATAAGTTGTTATCTTTCTGGTAAGTAATCCTGATTTTGACTGCAACCATGTTTGACCTTGCTGAACAAAACATCGAATACTGAGAACCAACTGCACAGAGCCAGCACAGTCCGAATTCCGTTCCTCACTGAAAGCTCTGTATGCTTGGCCCCTTCCTCTTACAGCACGTATGCCAACTAACAGACAAACTACGGCGTGCACTCACCAGGACACTGGTGGCCCCGTTAGCCAGGGGCCCATAAGTGATGTATGAGTGACCGGTGATCCAGCCAATGTCTGCTGTGCACCAGTACACGTCATCAGGGTGGTAGTCGAACACCAGTTTAAATGTTGTGGCAGTGTACAGCATGTAACCACTGACTGTGTGTAATACACCCTGAAAAAGAAAAAAGGGAAGTGAGACTCTTCAACAGACCAGGGGCGTAGCCATGATGAGACAAATGGAGAAGGAATAGTTATTAACTGCATTGTTTTCTGTGGGTGCTGCCATCGTACAGTATCATGGCCAAACAAATCATTACACTCTCCGTTTTATTTCCCCAGCTCTTCAAATCACTGCTTAGCAGCTGTTGCTATCCACCACTGCTTCAAGCCTTCAGTTTATTACCTACATGCCAGTGTTTGAAGTTGTAGCTCCGGCTGTGGTTAAAATATGTATCTACAGGCCTGTGAAAGTGAGATTCTGTAAGTTTGCTGTGTTGTTCTCATCTTTGCATATCTCAGCTGTCTGACTAAAGCCTTGGGTTCACTACACGACTGAACAGACTATAAAAGACTGGACGTGTCACACTGTCCGACTGGTTTTTTTGGGTGACTGAAATATTGAGGATCCACACTAAATTAGGGATCACACACTACCCAACTTTTCAGCTGCTGCTGAACCGAACGGAGCTCACTGAACGCAAACTCTCGGTTTCTCCCGTTACTAGGAGACCCAAATAAACAAACGTGGAGCTGCTGCTGCTGTTTTCTCTGTCGTTTGCTCCGACAGTAAAGAAGCAGCACTTAAACATGTTTAAATGACGGTCATGGATTTAAAAATGATCAGTTTGGTATTTTTTAGAGTTTTAAACATACATAATATCGATTGTGCCTTAAACTCAGCTCAGTAAAAAGCTTCGCTCCACACATGAGAGACTTTTCGCCAATTTTCTTTGTTCACTTGATGAATTTGATATTTTTGCACTCTGTTTTCATTGGCTGCTGCAGGAATCCATTCAGGTGAGTCGTTGACCAGGTCGAAAAAAATCAAACATGTTTGATAAACTCCGACTGGTTTGAAACTCGATCGGGAGGCAAAAAAAATCAGAGTCTTACTGATTACGCGCCGCTTACGCACTACTCAATTCACTCTCCGTCGACTCTGACTGACCCAAAAATGTGCAGACGAGCTCAGACGCGGCCAGACTGTGCCTACGTCGAGAGGATGCCTGCTTTACACTTATGCTTACGTAACTGTGCTGCTGTGTTGGTTGTGTTTATGTAAATCCAGTACTCTGGTTTATTGCCACGGTACTGTATAAGCATTGGAATAAGTAGGGTGATGACTACACTGCTGTCAAGAATAGGCAACAGCCGGAAGTTGAGACATTGTGAGAGACAGTGCATTTAGAAAATTGTATCTACCAAGTAGGCCTACTCCACAAAACAGTAAAAGTATTACGAAATTATAGGTTGTCACACAGCAATAAAATTAAAAGTAAACATAGCATATCACGTGTAGGTTATTGATGATACCTTAGGTTTCCCAGTGGAGCCACTAGTGTAGAGAATAAAGAGAGGATCTTCAGATTCACACCACACCGGCTCACACTCATCAGAGGCACCTTCCATCAGAGAGTGCCAACACACATCCACCTCTGGGTTCCAGGGCACCTGCACCAACCACAGCCCACAAAGCAGAAAATCAACCAGTCTTTTCTGAGCCATACTGAGCAGGGACTGTTAGGAAAACATCCTTTTAAAACCCCAAAATCTCTATATGTTCCAAAGGTGAACAGCCCTAATATACACCATATGGCCAAAAGTGTATGGACACCTGCTCATCCAATGTTTCTTCCAAAATCAGAGTATTAAAAAGGAGTTTGTCCCCGTTTGCTGAAGTAACTGTCTCCACTCTTCTGGAAAGGCTTTATACAAGATGGAACATTGTTGTGGGGATCTGACTGCAGTCAGCCACAAGAACTTTAGTGAGGTCAGGTACTGATGTTGGATGATCAGTTCTGGATCACTCCAGCTCATCACAAAAGTATTGGAGGAGCTCCATCATTCCAGAGAACGCAGTTCCAATGCTGGTGTGTGTGTGTGGGGCCCACGCTTGGCATTGTACATTGTGACCTTAAGGTCACATGCATCGACTCCAGAGCATCTTATTTAATTGTCGATGCCTTTCTAAGGATATTATACAAGCTGTGTGTGCATTTGACCCCTGTGTCTGCAGCGGGTGCACCTTGAAGTAGCTGAATTAACTAAGATGAAGGGGTGTCCACAAACTTTTGGACATAGTGTATTTAGATGCTTTTCACACAGACACCAACACACTTCAACTACAAGTGGTCTGGAGGTGCTGATATGAAAAAAAATGATTAAACTCATTTGATTCTGCATGGCTTTCAATCTAACCAAGGAAACTGGTTAGACCACAGTGCAAAATCACATCATTTTATGCAACAGAAAACAAACAATAAGAAAGAGAAAAGATTAAGTAAAGTTAGTAACACACAGATCTATCACAGAGCTACAGAACTTAGGACTTAATAGGATATATACATAGGAACATGACTAAAAAAGTGTACTTGATTGGATCAGATCTAGCATGCACGTCATGGGGTTGAGAGGAGGGAACACAGGATGAGAGAGCTAAGTGACAGGAACGTGTAAATGGAACTAACGAGCGAGTCTGCATTCGGCCGTACTCAAATAACAGTCAAATCCATGAGACAATGGGAGAAGAGAAGAGTAGAAAGATTTTGGCACTGTTTAAGGGTGTAAGAGATTTGAGAGACACTGAGGCGACATAACTGTGTTTCCAAATCCACGTCCCCAAGCACTAATAGGTCTGATCCAAGTGTTGGTTAACTATACAGGCCAGAAAGACACTCCACGCAAGGGCACAAATGCAAATGACCACACAGAGCCAACACAACACAAGCACGTGTTCCAGGTGTACACAGGGTGACCTAAGCGCGAGTGAGTGAGACCCTTTTTGATAACTGCATCAGGATCGTATCCCCAGTGATAAAGCTGATGATTTCCTTCTACAGATCAAGACTCTGTAGACAGAACAGCTGTGTGTCAGATATTTTTCACCGGATGTTGCGAAATTTTCTGCAATTAGATCATAAAAAAACTGAAATACTGATCGTTGGTTTTTATTTTATCGTTTTGGTATAAAAATTATTTATGAGAAACTTGGTTCTTTAGCTTCATATATCAAACCTGAAGTAGGAAACCTGAGTGTGATCTTAGACTCTGAGCTCTGTTTAATCTGCATGTAAACAGTCACTAAAGTAGCTTTTTATCATTTGAGAAAATCACTGAAGTTCGGCCTTTTGTCTCTCAGAGCGACGCAGAGAAACTTGTTCATGCTTTTGTTACAAGCAGAGTTGATCACTGTAATGATCTTCTCACTGAACTTCCTAAGAAAACAGTTCATCCTTTACAACTCATACAAAATACAGCAGCATCAACAAAAACAACACAGAGATCAGATCAGTCCCGCTTTAAAAGAGCTGCACTGACTGCCTGAATCGTTCAGGATAGAGTTTAAAGCTCTGCTACTAGTTTTTAAAGCTCTAAATGACCTTAAAGCTCCGCTTCCATCACAGACTGTCTGTCTGTTTATGTTCCGGCACGTAATCTAAGATCTGCAGATAGGGGCCTTCTACAGATACCCTCTGTAAAATACAGAAACCGTGGAGAGACACTTTCAGCTATTCTGCTTCTAAACTGTGGAGCTCAGTTCACCTTTTATTAGATAGTCAAGCTCAGTGCTCACGTTTAAGAAGCATCTAAAAACGCAGCTCTTTAACTTAAACTCTACATCTTGTGGTGTTTATCTTCTAATTTGATCTGTTTCATTTTTATCTGATACTAAATAAATACTTATGATTTCTTGTACAATGAATGCTGAATGGCAATCACCCTTTTGATGATTATTCACAATGGTTACATTTAAGTGTTCTCCTGTCATGTAAAGAGAAATACAATGTTAAGCTTATTTGTCTCACTTATTTGTACGGCAGTTATAAACCTCAGAATACAAGAAGAAATCAGAGTGCGTGTACACCAGATGTGCTGCTATTTTAATGGCCACAACAATAATAATTACTTGTTGTATAGGCAAAAAATTGGCTGCTGAATTTCTGTCGGTGAAAAAACCTATGAATAGCTTATGCAAGCCAAGTGGCCCTTGCTGCAATGCTCAAACTGCAGTTTGCGCTTATGTTTTAAATGTAAAAACTCACAAAATTGACTTTATGTAGTGTGAAGCAGTTGCATCTGCTTACTAGCATGTGGTACACTTCTGGCCAAATAGTTTAGACCAATGGTTTTCAAACTAATCCTCAGGGCTCCCCAGACAATCACATTTTTGCTCTATCCCAACACTCAACACAGGAATAGAGTAAAAAATGTGGACCACCTAAAGGGGGGCCCGAAGACCGGTTTGAGAACCACTGGTTAGACCAAAAGAAACATTCTGAAACACTACACATAACCTTAGTTAGCCTGGGTACGATGATCTGCCACTCTGCTGTGCCTAGCCAACCGGGCTCTGCAGATGCAAGTTAACCAAAACCCCGTTCATACCTGGTCATTTCATGCACCTACAGCAGGGGTCTTTAATTAAAATTCAGTAAGGTCCAGTTAGAGGAAAGTTCCTCAAGCAAAGGTCCGAAACATCATACTGTTTACTGAAGTAGCCTAGTAGGTATATCAACATCTTATACAGTCAACAACAATGTCAAATCAAATAAAGTACAGTTCAGTCATATTTCAACAACATTTACTGTCAGTTTTCTCTTTTTAGATCACGCCATGTGAAATAACTTCCCTCTGACTCATTTTCTTCTCTGACTGCTGTGTCTCGCCTCGTCCCTCCCCTGTGTGTGCGTCATTCACTCGAGTCTCAGTGCTCATCATAATGCACAGATCTGATTGGCTGAGTAGCGTCACGTGTGATATTTACAACGCATGCGATTGGTCTGTGAGTTTTCCGGGCCGCTAAACTGGTACCATAAAGGCTAGAAAAGCTACGCCGATTAAAACAGGACCACCCCGTCGAAATTAAATAATTCTCCATAGTTTATCGGTTATAGGTCCAGGTCCACATAGGACAGTGTCTGGGTCCAGACTCGGACCGCGGTCCACCTATTAGTGACCGCTGACCTAGAGCATCAGGACTGGGGTGAGTGATACGGCAAAAATATCACACTAAAAAACTTTGCTGATACTCAGCACGCAACGCACTGGTAGTGCCACACTTAAAAACTGCCAACTGGCAAAATGATTTTCATTCAACATTTCACATACTCGTAAGCTTCCAGTGTTCTTTCAGTACTAACGATATCCATAACACGCTCAGAGAAGCACACTGTATCACAATCATAAAAATAATCACAATAATGATGAAATTGCCCATCTCTAATCAGAAATATAGATTATGGAGATTATCTACATAAAAACGCAGGTGCAAATACACCCAAGTCACATTTAAACAGGTGTAAACCCCAACGCTATGACAGGGCCCTTCCTAGCCTCTTCTGCATATGAGGTAAAACCGTCCACTGCATTGCCAACACTAAACTGAGGAGTTTCTACTCCTTTAACTCAGCTCTTGATGCGAGTTTCTCCTCTGAATTTAATTCAGGAGCCTTCGGGCCTGAGCTAGATAAATTAAACTGCCAGTTTAGTTCATTTTCCACTGTTATTGACCGCTACGCTACATCACTTCTTAACAAACATGATCCATGGCTGCAATGACTAATACAAGAGGAGGCTAATTATTCTAAACAGTAATCATTTTGGCGTGAAGCCGCTATATGTAAATGAACAACAGCATGCACAGTTGGGATTTTTGAGGTGGCAAAGACCTTTTGACTAGAAATTTTGACTAGAAGCAAAAAAAAGCTTTACATATCACGTGGGTCCGTGTATCTTTTGGTCATTCGATTTCATTTGAAGTCAAGTATCGAAAAACATGAAAATAGGTCAGTTCTCGTTTTTGGTTCTGTGGAAAAATCAAGAAATAGCCTCATTTTACAATTTGACAAACTAATCACACAATCACAGAAGAAGAGGAATAACAAGATAGGCCTAGTCCCGGCAATTTGGGAGACTATATGAGGTTTTTATAGTCATTTGTATATTTGATGTGGCTATTCTATCAGCAAAAAAACTGAAGCGATATGGGGAAGAGACTCTGCAGGACTCCCACCATTTAACAGCAAAGTCAAAGACAAATGAGCCGCGCTGCCCAATAATGATAAGAAAAATGAACACTAATGTCACGTCGTCAGATGTAAATTTATAGCAGCTGTGTTACAGATCCAGACTTGAGAATTAAAGCTGTGCGCTGTCCTGAGTCCATATTGTTCTTATAATAATGTGGCAGCTGCCACCAACTCTAGTTTTGAAAAAGGAGCTTTAGAAGTGTGTTACACAGAGCTGTGCTGCGGCTCCGCCCTGTAAAAAGAGACGTTGTTGTGGTTTAATGTTGATAATGATGTTGTTCTGTTAGTCTTAAATGTATGTATGTGTTATTTGCGTTATTCTGTAGCCTCTCTCGTGTCTCCTTCTTCACCGAGATGCTCATCATTACGACTGAAAGCCATTCAGTCCTCTAAGTGCTGCACAACAACCAGCGCCTTCGGGATGTTAAACTAAACTCTCACTGAGAGACTCATTAGATCCTGCTGTGCTGTTTGTTGTGAAGGAAAAATCTGGATAAACCGTTATTTACACACAGGCATACTCTGTATTGCACACAAAGGGGAGTCAGGATTCTGCACAACACAGACTATCAGGCCTGATTTCAGTGATTTCTGAGCTTCTGAGACCATGCGTGCACTCTGCACGTCTATTTCCGGCGATACATTTTTATTTTTTTGGTTAATCAAATAAGACCCTTCATCGAATGGTTGTTCGTCTGTTATTTGATTTTATGGTTAATTTGTGAAACTGCAATAACAGAACCAAAAACAAGAACTGACCCATTTTCCCGTTTTTCAATGCTGGTTTTGAAATGAAAATCGAACGACCAAAAGATACACGGACCCACGTGGCACAAAGTAATCAGATTTCAAATCTGACTAACTGGAGAAGCATCTGGCTACCAAGCGTTAGTGCATAGGGTTAAAATCTTATCAAGTTACCTGAAACGACTAGGTGCAAACGAGGTCTATATATGACTGTGAATGAGAGAGTCAGGTAGAAAAAAAAATCCTCATCTCTTTATAGTGATTATAAAGTAGTGAAGCCAGATGAACCAGAACACACAGAGTGGCTACAGCTAACCAGCACTGGTCCCAGACTACTGTTGAGTGACTTGTGACTGTCAGTATTTCTTATAGACACCTGTTATGATCTGAGATTTGCCCTTTCAGAACTGGCATCGAACACAAACCAATCATTAATCCAGTAGCTAAAAGGAAAGGACTGAAACTGGACTTGTTTATTTTGTTTTCTTTCCACATTTAAACAGCAGAAAAAAGAAGCCAAGTCTGAAAAGGCTGCAGATGTGTACGGTGAGATGCACTTGCACACACACTGTGTTAGAGTGTGAAAACTGATACAGGCCTCGGACCTTCCCAAAGAAAGACAGTAGCCAAGGAGTGGACAAAAGTGTTAAAGAAAGACAAGATAAGAAAAAGAAGCAAGAGTTAAGCAGAGGGAGGGCTTGAAATACCTTAGGGATGGGACGGACCCTCCTTACTTTTTCTTTCTTTTTCTCCTGCTAAAGGGGGGGTTAATGGAGAGATTATGCACATACAAAAGATAGTGAGGAAAGGATAAATATGGCAACACTTTACTGTAAATCAGAAGACCTTTAGCTCTATTACAGAACATAAAATGACCCCTGACGTTCAGAGCATAGCAGAGACAGTGAAGACTCCATACTAATCACCCTCAGCTCTCAGTTTTTATATGATTCAAAGGTCTTCAGTACAATATCTTGTGGGTGTTGCCAGATTTCAATGGCTTTAGAACAGTCATAAAAACCATACTGACCCAAAAACAGCAACTTGAATAACAAAGATAGGACAACACATGACCGAGTTTGGGTAAAAATAAACACACACAGGATAGGGCTTAACATTACAAGAATACAGCAGACAGTATTATCCATTAATAGACAACTGGTTAATGGGTGAGACCGACAAAGTACTGATGTAAGTGAGAGGTCAAGGTTTACCTGGAGGTCAGGGCAGGAACGTTTTGCAGGGGGTGATAGGGAGCCCGGCGATGAGGCTTCCTCTTCCTCCTTTGATAAGTGCTTCAGCATAATACACCGCTCCACAGGGAAAGATCTGCAGGAAATGCACAGTATCCGATAAACAAGCACGGCTTACAACCCAAACCTCAATCTGTACTCTATAAGAAATATCTGTAATAGTGCTGGGCGATATGGCCTCAAACCAGTATCACAATATATTGAATGTTTTACCTGGATTACGATTAATAATTAATACGATTATTTCGGGGGTTTTTTTTTTTTACCCTGATAGTTCACTGACAAGGTTTGTACTGTAAACATGTTCTGTATATCTTAATGTAAATCATCTCAACAGCCAGATTGGAAATTCCGTCAATTGAACTCAACATTCCTCATGCGCTGCTTAGACCTCAAACATTTGGGGTGATATCTCTGTACAAAAATTAGTAGAGACTCATCCAAAACCCTCCGTGTTTGAAGAGATTTCGAAAGAAATGTCCGAACGCGGCCGCAGGAGAACGAGGCTGCAGCGTCAAAGAACAGTTAAAAGTCTGAAAGCAAAGTTTAAAGAACCCGACGACATGAACCGAAGAAGTGACCGCGCCCTTTACGGCGAGCTGAACACATTCTGGGTGATGAGCCCAGCTGTCAGTCAGTGAAGCTTCATGATGGCTCCTGTGATGCTGGTGAAAATGAAGCTGATCCCCAGGGGATCGACTGGCGTTCGTGATCGTTCACCTCTGAGCCGTGAAGCAGCGTGACGCGTTGCTCTTTAGAATATGCGCCTCAGTTTAGGAGCTGATCTGTTCAGATTGATGTTGCATACAGATCATTTAAAGCCAAACAAAAAAAAAAAAACAGATTTGGTGAGAAAATCAGATTCGGTGAGAAAATCAGATTTGGGCCACTTTTACCTGCTGTGTGAACGTAGCCTTAGCTTCCATGTCGCAGACTGGACGTGGCGGAGTCACGTGATACACGCGCGGTAGTAGGTTTTTAAGGGGACAGTAAATGAACACACAGAGTCGGGAAAGGATTTAAAATCTAAATAACCAACATGGGCAAGATTACGTCGTTTAGAGGTTCTTAATATTGGTTTCAATTACTTTTCGAAAATTGCCATCTCATGTTTTAATGTCACTCCGGAAACTCTGTTTTAGTCCATAGGCGGAGCCTTATTTTAGCCACACCCCTGCATTTCAGCGTGAGAATGCACCCCTGCAGTTCGATCTCATTGTTTTGAAGTAAATGTGTCCCAAAGTCTGAGAATCTGTGTGTAACATTAAGAAGTGTTACTAGTGAAACACATATTTTCTGCAATTAAGCAAACTTTTTTGTGTTTTAGTGAAAAATAATGCAATTTTATGCGTTTTTTGTTGTGTTTAAAACATTAGCTGAAATTGTCACTACTGAAAGCTTTGGTAAAGCTTTGGTAGTGTTTTGATTGTTTTATTATTTATAAAAAGGAATGTTCAATCATTTATTTTTAATAAAATAATCATAATTGAGGTATAGGATCATTCAAATCAAAAGGGTTTTAGTCTAAAGTCCAAAGTGGTTTCAACTTTGAACTAATTCAGTAAAATGATCCATATATAAATAAGGTGGCATCATTCAATTTTACATAAATTTCCAGCCTCGTTTTATACCTCAGAATTAAAAAAGGCAGTTGTTGTTATTGTGCCTTTAAAGGGAAAAACATAGTTTTTCATGATTTGAGTCCTTCAGGAATTTAGTCAACGATTACAGTGTCTGAAAGTGGGTATGTATGTATGTCTTACTTGTCCCTGCATTTCTGCAGCGCCTCATCAGCGATCACTTTAAGATTGATCAGCTTATCTCCTCTGTAAAAGCCATCTGGAAGAGGAACATGGACAGACAGAGAAAAGGTAAGTGTTGTCTAAATCAAATTAATGTGATAAATGTAAACATATGATAAGGGCCTAAAAGGGCGTAAACAGTAGATGGTCAAAATGCACCCATAAACTGCCCTAGTCAAAGCTGGGGTGTGGGGTGTACCGAATGTGGCTTACAGTGCACAGTCACAGCACGAGTAAGCTGATAAACCTGGCATTAGCCTCAATACACATACACAAGGGGATTTTCATTCAGAGACTATGAATGGGTCAAAAAATTAAATTAGCATTTTGTTTTTATCTTTATATGGATAGTTATATAGATTCCCCAAACCCAAACAATACATTTACAGGGTTATTCAATTATCTGACAGCACTGTGTGCACTAAAAACAGACTTGTCAGTCTATGATAACCAATACAGCACAGTCACTAATGTAGTCATTCACAAGATCACTAAATTCAGGCACTCCGGTTCAGAATGTGGGTGTGACTAAAGCATGGCAGTAAAGAGCTTTTGAAAGCAATGTGGTCAGCTCCATTTCTAATGCTGTGATTCAAACAATGATCAAAGGCAGCAAGAAAACTTGAGCTACTTACAGCTAACACTGAGATTATCACAGGTTAAAGATAATCCAGATTAATATTACAAAAAAACAATAATAAAACTTTTCTTACCAGCTGTAATTAGCAGAGAACATTGGGAATCTATGATTCTTTCACAGAGGGACTCGGCAGAGAAACCTGCAAACTGAAATACGACACAAACACTTAAATATGACTATACAACCCTGTCAAAACTTTGAGAATACTTTGTCTTCTTTTAAGACGTTCACAGGTAACTAGGGAAAAATGAAAAATATCTGCAAAAGTTTTAGCATCATAAACCAGCTACACTGACTGGCCACTTCATCAAGTACAACTCCTTGTTTTTTAAACTTCTTTTTAGTAATACTTTCAATTATCATCATAAATATTTACATAGTGATAATTCCAAAAATAACAAAGAGCACATGCTCAGCAGGATTAAAGCATTTTGAAAAGCCAAGTGTCCCTAAAAGGACTGAAAGGCATTGACCATATAATGTCAATGCTTCCAAAAATTGGTGAAAGTAAAGCTCACCATCACTTATATACAAGCTTTAATAGTGCCTTATAACTGCATCCAATGCCCGGCATACTGCTTATGCAATAATAGTAAACCTATGTTGATGCAGCAGTGAACAGCAGGCTAACTACAAGTGGAAAAACGACAGAAGAGTGACCAGGAGAACACACCACAATTGAATGCACAGCTCCAATTCGGGCACAAGCCAGCATGGCCACCACCAGCTCAACTACCATGGGCATGTAAATGGACACACGATCCCCCTTTTTCACACCTGTCAGGACAGAGACAATAACAGAGAGAGTATAACTTCAAAATGTTGTAATCTGATTTACTTAAGCTGTGCTATATTCCCAAAAAAAAACAACAGGTACATCAGATTTAAAAACTGATATACCTTGTAACTTGAGGACGTTGGCAAACTTGCACACTTCCAGTAATAGTTCTCTGTAGGTCACGGTCTTCTCATCTCCTGGCTCGTTCCCCTCCCTGTGCGATACCAAAGAGCCATGAAGGAAAAGCACATTTATCCATCAGATAAGATCAGAGCATTAACATTTATTTAAATATGTATGAAATAAGTAAAATGGGTTGGGGTTTTTCTGGGGACTGAATCTGCATTATGTCAAACTCGTCCAACAGGTCTGTCAGAAAAGCAGCGCCTGATTATTTATAAACAATGTACTGTTGACTCTTCAAACTTTTTTTCTTGAAATATGTTGAAGTTTTAAAGCCAGCATTAATAATGTTTTACCAACCTTTAAGGACACAATCCTCTCCGGCCCGCAGAAGTATTTTAATTAAGCAACAGTTATTGGCGATGACACACTCCGAGCGTTTTATTGCTTTAATACACCAGTTAAATAAATAAAGTAATAAATTAATAAACTGGGCCGTGAACGCGGCGTTTAATATGTTTTAATGTTCGCAGTTCCTTCACCAAATTATAGTTCCTTAACGAGCAGCTTGTTGCTACGTCAGAGTAACGAGCTCCGCCCACTCGCTGCACAGCCGGCAGTTCGTTCTCCAGCTCCTCACACTAAATTCCCAAACTGTCATCACCACTGAGCAGCTTTTCAGTCGGCAGCTGTGACAGAAGAACAGCTGAACAACCTGGAATCAGCCAGAAATGAACCCAACACCATTCGCCAAACGTGTAGTCTGATCTTCAGAGTCTGACCAAATCAGACTGAGCCATAAAACTGCTGCAATATCAAGTTCAGCTCAGTTTTGTCAGTTTTTTCCAGATCAGTATTAATGTTGTTTTGTTCCAGCCAGTCTGTAAAGCATCTTACAGCCCGTTTAGTTTGGCGAATGGTGTTGGGTTCATTTCTGGCTGATTCCAGGTTGTTCAGCTGTTCTTCTGTCACAGCTGCCGACTGAAAAGCTGCTCAGTGGTGATGACAGTTTGGGAATTTAGTGTCGTCTCATCTTCAGAGTCTGACCAAATCGGCTGTCGGTCAAATGTGATCTTAAGTGTCCATTTTCTGTTTGTGGCAAAGTAAGAAGTAAAAACGTTCAAATGTCTTGAGCGTCTCCTACAGCTGTCAAAGTCGTCGCTTAGCAACGGCGTCTCATCGGAGTGATACAGTGTTTGTGAAAAAATGTGATGTTATGGTGAAATAAGAGCACAGTTAGAACGCTGCTCAACCAATCAGCTTGCGTGACCAGAACTAACTGCTGTATAATTTTCTATTAATTAGCCCGTTTCACAGTGCACTGCACTACAGTTCCCAGCATGCACTGCAATGTAATGTGCTCTGACTCTCTTACCCCAACAACTGTCTATGAGACAGCAGTGACCCCTCAATTCTACACAGTTCCACACCAGCCATATCACCAAACACACTAACTGCAATTCAGCCGATATAAACACTGAACGTCCTCTCAGCAGCTCAGAAACTGAGCCCAAGACTTAATGAACCTGCAGCAAAGAAAAGATGTCAGGTGTCTAATTTTAGCAAATAAGTAGAGGTAAAAAAACTTAGCTCCTGGGGAAAATTACATTTTTAATATTTCAAGTAATATTTTAAGGTGTGAAGTTTTTGCATATGTTAAATAAACAATGGTCAGTTCAGTTTATAGCAAAATGTTAATTAAAAATGAAATTCTGGCCCACGGATTTGTTGAGATTTTTTTATATGGCCCTCTTAGTAGTTCAGAACATGCATTTGCACTACTGAGTGCTCCAGAAATGGAAAACAAGCACAAGCAAACACTTAAAACATTAACTTCCTTATCTTTTGAATGCCCTTCTCGGATAACACACGGCACGTACACTGAAGCCACAGCATGTGAAGAGAACCATTTCCTGCAACTGATATTTGACACATTTACCATTTCTAATGTCTATATGCCACACAGTTTCTCACACGCCATAACAGATAATTCCCCTTCCAAACATTCAGGCGTCTCCTCCTGCTTCGCCTCATAACAGCTGGCACTGGGCATGTCCAACGTGCCATGAGTGTTTTGTAAGCAGAAAAGTTTGATGAAATCATTTTCATGGCTGTATAGGCTGGGCTGCATATGCCTTTACGTAGCTGGTTCTCGCACAATCCCGCACTAGTGTAGAGAGTCCTACAAGCGTGGATGAAAGGAAAGATATCCTGTCAAAGATTCACAACTGCCAAGTGTGGTATTTCAAGCTAAAATCCTGTGTTGTAATCTGTGCTCCTCCAGAATTGCGAAATCAAAGTTGCACAAGTAGCTCGGAGTGAACACCTCCCAAGGCTTTTGTGCATAACAGGTATAAATCTAACCGCCTCATTTAACAACGTGAAGGCCAACCAATTGGCTGCAAAATGCAAATCTAAACGTGACATGGACACAACCTCCATAACATCTGTGAAGACAAAGTGCTACTGACCACCTCAAAGAGGGGAGACAAAAGAATTGGGTACTCCAATGAATTGGAGCGATAAGGCCGGCGATAGCGCTGAGCGAAGAGGAAGGCGTGTGAGGCCTCATTATCGCAGTAGGTAGCGCGTCAGTCTCATAATCTGAAGGTCGTGAGTTCGATCCTCACACGGGGCAGTGAAGATTTTGGGGGCAGTCGTGGGCTGGAGGTTAGGGAACCAGGCTTGTGACCGGAAGGGCGCTGGTTTGATCCCCTGAGCCGACAGTACGTGACTGAAGTGCCCTTGAGCAAGACAACTAACCCCCAACTGCTCCCTGGGCACCATGGATAGGGCTGGGTAAGTGTGCTCACTGCCCCCTAGTGTGTGTGGTTCACTGCAGATTGCGGAGGTGAAATTTCCCCCGCTGTGGGACTAATTAGGGTCACTTAATCTTAAATTAAGCAGAAAGCTCTCTGACATCCTTTGGAAGTTAGCACGACTGTGCTCAAGCTGTAGGTGTCCACATGCAAAAAAACTGAATCAGACCCGCACCCACGACTTTGAGACCTAACCCTACTACCAAACCAGTACTACTGAATTTGAAACTCTAACCGGACCTGAACCTGCTCACACTTTTACGGTTCTGATTCATCAGAGCTCCATGTGTCACTCTGTCGTAATGACCAGGTCATAATGTTTCCACAATGAACACATCCCTGAATTTAAAACAGTTCCTCTTTAGTGAGCTTTCTTTTTTTTTTAGCAAGACTGTTAGCCAGGCTTTGTCATACACATACAGCACTGTGCAAAAGTCAGAAACCAACCTTCATTTTTTTAATTTCCCATCAAAAAGACCTTTAAGTACAAGTTTTCATTTTTCAAGGGATATTTCAGAGAAGATCAGATATACGCCAATCATCATGCTTAAGGAAGGGGAAGGGCAATGAAACATAATTAGTTTTGGCATTTCCAAAACTTCAACAAAAAGACAGTGTGACTAACAACCACGCAAGACTGGGTAGACCGTCAAAACTGTTACCATCAGATAAACAGTACTTAACTTATCTCTAAGAGAGAAGAAAATCAAACACCATCCAATCTTGCTTCTGATCTGAAAAAATCCTTCTGCTATCCTGCCACCTCAACGCAATGGAACTGAAAGGATGTGTAACTGTCAATATGCTGTTACTGAGAAAATTAAAAAAAAGAAGAAAAAGAAAATTTGCAAAGCAAACAAAGAAGCAGCCGGTGTTTTCAGAAGAATGGCCAGGCACCCCAGAGTCCAGACCTCAACATCACTGAATGTGTTTGGTTACTTGAATCATGAGAAAACAGAAAACTGAACTCTGGAGTTGTGGAAAAACATTTGGAAAAACTGAAAGCTGAAAGAAAGTCTCCTGAAAGTGGAAGCTGTAATAAAGTCCTCAACAAGTAAACATAATTTCAAGTATAAATTAAAACTGTATTTGCTTGAGTGTACTATATATGTTATTATATTTTCTCTGCTGCTGAAAAATGAATAACTTACACTTAAGGGCTGTTTTGACTGGTAATTAAATATATATACATATACACACACACACACACACACACACACATACATACACATACATATATATATATATATATATATATATATAGAGAGAGAGAGAGAGACATAGATATACATTTGAAGCATGTCTGTCAGCATTTTATCCACACACATTCTGGCCTAATAATTATTAACAATGATTACATTCTGTACTACTGTACTTTAGGGGGAGGCTGTCCTGCACAAATAACATTCTAAAGAATGCTAAGCTTTACTGAGACAACAGTCTTTTTATTTGAACTCAATGTGTCCATTTAACTCCTCTTTTGCGCATCGATTTGATCTGCACACCAATATTATCCTCCTAGTCACCAATTTTGATGCCAGCCTTATACTCTCCTACCACCAGATGTAAGATGTCACTGCACAGGTACTTCTGAGAGTTTCAATACTCTTTTGGTATCGGCACACTTTTGTGTAAACTCTGTAGAATATGAGAGAAGGATCACTTTCAACAGCCTGCGCTAAATTCACTTCATTACGCTGGAAATGAAGAAACATTTTCAGGGTAGATCTGTCAATCATATCAATCTGTTTTAAGAAAACACCACTATAAGACTTTGTCTTCTTATTTTACAGATTTAAATATGAAAAACCAAAGCTCTGAGGATACATACACTTCCACACTGAAGATGATGGTTACAGAAATATTTTCCTAAATGAACTACGCATACCTTGTTTTCATATGATTATATGAAAATGGGAAAGACGGCAAATAAAGGATCCACGCCTGCATGAGCTAAATGTCAGCACAGCTCTAACCAGAGTTATTCTTAAAGTCTAAAACCCTTTTTCATCACACAGCAAAAAAGCTCACCTTTCTAGTCAAGTCTTGATGAAATTTTACATATCGCTGTTGTCAGAAGAAAACCTCGTATCTCCAAAATGGTAACTTTACAGAAGAAGGAAAAAACCTACTTTACTTTTAATGTAAGTCAATAGAACCAGACATTTTTCCAAGTCATTTTTGGGTCATTTATTTTAGTCCATTTATCATGAAATTTACACACAACGTAAAGAACAACAGGCATTTTTAAATTATGCCAAAAACTGAAAAACAACAAAAATGGAGATATTTCGGTTTGTTTGTTCTGACAGCAGCGAAATACTGATCTTCATGTTTTACATGGCGAAGAAAACGAGAAAGTCACAAATGCTCATCTAAACATCCCCTGGTCTGTGGGTCTGTCGTATTCAGTGATACCTCACACTACTCTCTCCATCGCGGCCCTGACCATTCTTATACAAACGCCACTCATACTGACCAGTAAAAGGCCACTTTATCCCCCAGTTTCTTCTCATAGACATTGCGGTCCAGAACATTGTAGCAGATGTTCGTGGTGGCTCCTTCCATGCACTTGACAAAAATTCCGCCCTTGGTGACGTCAAAGTTGTAGTCCAGGAACCGTCCAGCATGTTTCGTCTTCCAGAAGAACTCCTTGGCAATGTCTCCCCAAAACTCTGAATGAATGAGAAGAATTCTAAACGTCATGCGAGTGCAGCTTAGACCTATTCTACAGACAGAGTCCATAACCAATATATAAAATAATCAAAGTGTGTGCAAATAAAGCTTGTTTTTAACATAGCATTGTGTGTAAGTAGTGTAAGCGTAATATGGTGTATTTATGGACACCTTACTGTACATATTACACATCTGCACACCTTATTGCACATTTTGCAGATCTGGACACTTTATTTCAGTACCAATATAATCACATATTTATTCAGTATTGTCATTACCTGCGCCTACTGCCTTTTTCATCTCAGGATAGATCTACTGCATATTTTTTGAATATTTTTAGTTGTATGTGTGTGTGTGTGTGTGTGTGTGTGTATATATAAACACACACACACACACACACATTTTATATATATATATATATATATATATATATATATATATATACACACATACACAACTATACTGTATATATGTTTTTTTGTATGTATTCTTTTTATATTGTATCACCCTTTTATATTATATTATAACTGTCCTGTGCTGTGTGACTGATACTGGCTGCTAAATTTCCTTCGGGATCAATAAAGTATCTGTCTATCTATCTATCTATCTATCTGTGCTATTAGGGCCTATATGGAACATACCTCAAAATAATATTTGCTAGTACTCTGAACTGCACAATGAATCGTGTATTGGTGAAGTGCTTATTTTGCATAAAAACAACTGCACTAATATCCCATTTTAGCAGTCTAACTGAATAATGCTGGGTCAAAACGTTCCGAATAACAAATCTTAACTGATTCGATCGAGGAGAACAAATCACTAACAGACGGTCGCTGCACGATGACGGTACTTTATCGATTAACTAGCGTCTCGTGGAGCCACTGAGCATTTTAACCTCGGAAAAGGTCCAGCCTTGTACGAAATGAGCAGTAAAACGACCTCACCCTCCGGAGACTCGACTGATTTCTCATACAGCTCCTTAAACTGCTCGAAGCTGGAGATGTGCGCTTCTTTCTTCAGGTCCTCGGCGGCGGTCAGCACGTCCTCCTGCGGAGCCTTTTCGGGGATCATTTTGGGCCGGAGGTCAGTCCGCTGTCCGAGCAGAGCACCTCAGCTGCAGAACCAGACCACTGACTTAACGTTACTGCCGGGGAAGCTGCGCGACTTTCGCGGAGTGTTTTTCGCGCTCCTTCACCAAAACAGCCAAGAGTCCGGCGGCCACAGCAAGGAAGGCGAGGAGGAGGAGGAGCAGGAGCAGGAGGAGGAGGAAGAGGAGGAGATAAATGAACTTCCTTGACCGTTGGCTGGCAGCTAATTTGTTTAATTTAGGACCGAACACGGCCACAAAACACAGACAAGGCGGACAGTTTTAACCGAACTTGTGAGGCGAGCTAACAGACGGCTAGCTAACGTTAGCTCGCGCAGCTCGCGCTCCACAGAAGAAGCTAGGTCCTGCAGCTCCCGCTTCAAAAAGCTAAGTTAGCTTAGCTCACAGGGTCCGAGGCGCGTTGAGCTCAATGGCTGCGGTTTTGTGTCTGTCTGAGTCCGCACAGCTTCGCCAGCCGCGTTATTTATCCGATAAACCCCCTGAAAACAGCGGTTCTACTTCATAAAGCTTCTCCGAGGGGCTTTCACTCTGCGCCGCAGGCCGCTCCTCTCCGCCCAGCTCAGCTCGGTAAACACAGTCCGCCCTCCGCACTCACAGAGGCCGCTAGCAGGACTAATCCGAGGCCACCTGTGTCCGAACTGCACTCAGGTTTTCTTTAAAGGTCGCGAATCCGCCCGAAGCCGTTCTCGCGTCCTGCGCAGGAGGACCAGGCGACACACACTCACACACTCAGCGCGCAAGGCGGATATGCTGAAAACTCAACGTGGTCTCTGATAGGAGGGGAATCAGCCAATCAGCACCCACGACGTCGGGAAAACCGCGAGCATTGTGTGACCAAAACAATAATACAAAAAGTGTTTCCATTTTGGTGACTTTCTACTTTCACTCCACCACATTCTGAGAAATCTGTCGTTCCTTTTGGTTTATGTGTGTATAAAAACGTAATGTGTCAAAACGAAAGAAGTGTTAAGCGAGAACACCAATCAGGGCACAGCGCGCTTAGTTTTGAGCTTGTTTTGACCTGTTGGTTCTACCAAATGGAAACTGTTTGCCTTCAGTGTTTTGAGCTTATGATAATTTTAATAGACATCAGCGTCACTAATTAATGACATTCTATTAAAAGACTGGTTTACCAAGAGCGACACTGGAGTATTTTCACCTAAAATGAGTTAATAAAGCGAGTCTTGTTATAAAAATGATAATAGGACATTAGAGTCCTATTTTCTTAGTTACAAACATTGTTGGGCATTTCTTATACATATGACAGTGGTAGTGCTGTCTAATACATTCCAGATGTTTTCCTGTATCTGTTCAGTAAATGCCAGTAGGCGACCTATTTCTCCTAGCAGTCTTCGTTTGGTGAGCGTGGGGTCCGTCAGCGCTCGTCTAACTGGGTGAGCAGTTAAAAACACTCTGCGCATGTTCAACGCGCTCTTAATAACCAGCTGTGGGTCACAATCACGTTGGCCCCATGCTCAAAGCAGCCAATAAAAAATTAATAAATTTCCAAATGTCCATACGTTTAGTAAGAGTCATTTACAGTATGGGCGTTGCTAAACAGCTAGCCATTGTTCCTCATCAGCTGTGGTAGCTACTCCTAATAGCAAGACAATATAAATACTCAAGTCGAAAACATAATAAAAGTTAAATTTGATACCCTGACATTAGAGCAGAAATTAGAGATTAAACGTTTGGGACAAACCAGCCAGAGAATTTCAACATCATTCAGTCTGGAAAGGACAAAAACCGCTCCTTCAGTCCAGAGAGGTTCAGGGGAAAAACATGGCTAACTGAGTGTAGCTAAAAACACTCTTCTGCTTCCCTTGCCTGGCCTCGCTGTGCTATCAGTTGAATTCATTCATGGATTGTGAACTTTGAGAGAAAAGTTTTGACGAATTTGCCCAGATTAAAGACCATCATGCATCTTTTCTTTTCAAGCAGTGACCATCACTGTGAGTCATTCTGCTTTATTACAAGGCGTGTTATTCCTAAAGCCCTGCTCTGATATGTTGCTTTGGATGTGTAGTTGCAGACCACAGTGATCGTTTACTGCTTAATAAATTTGGGTTTGTACTGCAATGCTGTGTAACAAGGTCTTGTGAGATCTAATGTAGTTATCATATCAGACACAGCAGTGCTGCTGGAGTTTTAAACACTGTGTCCACTCACTGTCCACTCACTGTCCACTCCTACCTTGTCAGTCCACCTTGTAGATGTAAAGTCAGAGACGATAGCTCATCTGCTGCTGCACAGTTTGTGTTGGTCATCCTCTAGTCCTTCATCAGTGGTCACAGGACGCTGCCCACAGGATGCTGTTGGCTGGATATTTTTGGTGGACTATTCTCAGTCCAGCAGGTGTTTAAAAACTCCAGCAGCACTGCTGTGTCTGATCCACTCAGACCAGCGCAACACACACTAACACACCACCACCACGTCAGTGTTACTGCAGTGCTGAGAATGACCCACCACCCAAATAGTACCTGCTCTGTGACGGAGCCCCCTGATCTACAGCAATCTAGGACTGCAGGTAAACATAACATTAGGAGTCTTGCTCCAAGTCTTTGGGGGTATTGTGGTGTTCCTGATTCCTCTCTGGATGGAGGGATCAAACCCTGTTTTCCAGTGTGTGAAGCAAGAGTGAATCTCAGGCGTTCATATCAATGACGCCACTCACTTAGGCCCTACTCTCACCAGAAAGGAGCAAACGACTTTAGTGCCATCTTGTGGACTAAGGCAATCATAACAAATGCTAGTGTTAATCTATTAGTATAACTACTGAAGGCCCTGAGTGCAGAACACATCAACCAATCAAACACACAACAGCAAATCCGAAAACAGCAGCAAACCAAAAATACACCAGCAGAATCAGAAATGAAAATGCATTATCTCTACAGGATAGGAAAGGGTCAGTAATCTCTTTAGAGCATTTGTAGTAAGGAGAAGTTCCTCTCAGGAATGTCTCCTGGTTAGTAAGATTTTCAAAAATGTATTTATATCGACAGAACCTATTTTGTTTGGAGAAGATTTCAACATAACTCCTGATGACTGGTAGGACAGATGCTTGTCTAGTCATACTGCTCGCCTCTTCAGTGATGTGACACATGACTTTAATCAAGTTCATAAATATACTCAGAGAGTAAAGCATCACAAAGTCAGACAGTTCTCCTAGAGAAACCATAGTGTAGATGTAGAATAGACTACTGACTTTCAACTAATGAATGTTTTAAATTAGTTTTTGATGTAACTCAGGTGCTCCACTGACAGATTAGTGGGCCTCATTCACCAACCGTTCTTACAAAGAAACTTCCTCTTAAAACCCATTTATGCAGTTTTCACAAAGATTCAGACTCACCAATGTTCTCTTATGTGGGATCTGTTCTTAGGTAAGAACAGAATCTACACACACTCAAGAGCACAAAGGGGAGAACAGTTCTGCGCTTTAAGAACTCGTCATGAATCTGACGTAGACTTTTTCTTAGGACCTTTATCAATAAAAAAAATGTAGAAAAAAATTAGGAAGAAATTGGTGAATGAGGCCTGTTGTCTGATTTCTTTAAATCAAATCAAATCAAATTAAATCAAATCATGTTTATTGTCACATCAGATTTACACAGGTGCAAGTTGAGTGAAAATCTTAGGTACGTGGCCCCCTTATAGAATTTAAATACAATATATATAAACACCTCAGTGTCACTGCTGGACTGAGAATAGTCCACCAACCAAAAATATCCAGCCAACAGCGTCCTGTGACCGCTGATGAAGGACTAGAGGATGACCAACACAAACTGTCCAGCAGCAGATGAGCTATCGTCTCTGACTTTACATCTACAAGGTGGACTGACAAGGTAGGAGTGTCTAATAGAATGGACAGTGAGTGGACACAGTGTTTAAAACTCCAGCAGCACTGCTGTGTCTGATCCACTCGTACCACCGCAACACACACTAACACACCACCACCACGTCAGTGTTACTGCAGTGCTGAGAATGATCCACCACCCAAATAGTACCTGCTCTGAGGGTCCATGGGGGTCCTGACCACTGAAGAACAGGGTAAAAGGGGGCTAACAAAGTATCAGAGAAACAGATGGACTACAGTCTGTAACTGTAGAACTACAAAGTGCACCTATATAGTAAGTGGAGCTGATAAAATGGACAATGAGCATAGAAACAAGGAGGTGGTCAGAATGTTATGCCTGATCGGTGTATAATATAATATAGGATTATATGTAATACATTTATCATTTATGCTGACGTTCAGCTAAAAATAGATAAATTAAGCTATCAATACATGATCATCCAGAAGTCTCATTATATAAGTTTAAAAAGAAATCAAATATTTAGGGATCAGAATAACTAAAGATTTAAGAGAGAGAAGGTTAAAATTGATGCTAACTTGGGGAAAAGTAGATCAGTTCTGAATAACAGGCTACAAAAAGTCTTTTCTATCTTTGACTGGATTCTTTGACATAAAACAGAAGCGTCATCCAGACTGGTCTGTTCGGCTTACTCGTTAAGTACATGGTTTAGAAAATCAGATCTATTATAACTTAATCTGGAAAAATAAACAGCAGTATATCAGGAAGGGAGATACAGTGAAATCCTTAAGGGAGGGTGGATTGAATATGACTGACTTTAACATTATGAGCGTTAGTATTAATTCTTACAGTCCATTCTTACAGATGGGCAGTGTGTCTGGTTTAATTTTCATGCCCTACATTGATTAATACAGGACATTGATTAATCCCTCTTGCATCCTTTTCACTCACTATTATTGTCCTCAGTTCATCAAAGGTGTGTTTACTCTTATGTAGTACCAAAGTTGATCAGCTTTGTATAAAAATATGTAATAATAAGGTTATAAGACATAGCCAAGGGGTGGCCAGTGATGATTGAACACTGGCCAAAATCTTAATGTTAGCCTCGTTCATTTCCACTTAATGAAGAGCTGATGTTGGAATTTTTACATTAGGAAACAGTTTAAGGCTCCTAAATATCTTCCAACACGAAAATAGTACCATATTTTTGTTTTGTTATACAAAGTATAACAAGACATTCTGCAGTAGAAAATACACAGAGAACAAAACATTTGTCCATGCAATAAATTCTTAAGGCCTGTATTTAATATGGATTTAAATACTTGCTCTCTTTGTCAAGCAGACATGGCATCATCAGAATGCACGTATTTTACTATATTCTACCACAGGCTGCGTTACTGCCCAACCATAAACGTCCTATTAAAACCAAAAAAGGTTGTAGGATTTGATATATTATTAAAATACCCTTGAATGAAAACCAGCCTCAATGTTAAGGAGTTTTAAGGCACCATATCCACTTTAAATTAAGGAAATTTTAAGATTACCTTTGAAAAATACAGGGATATTATCAGTGGTATGTTTTTGCTTTGAGGTGCATCTTAAATTCAGGAGTAAATTAAACGTGATGGTAAATAAGGTAGGAAACGAAGGAAGGAAACCTCCTATCATTTTTCAGTTTTTGACATAATTTAAAAGTGCCTGTTGTCCTTTACATTGTTTGTAAATTTCATGATGAATGGACCAAAAGAAACGGCCCAAAATTACTTTGAAATGTCTGGTTCCACTGACTTACACTAAAAGTATGTTTTTTCCTTCGCCTGCAAAGTTACCATTTTGGAGATACGAGGTTTTGTTCCAACAGCAGCGATATGAACGTTAACACACTAAATTGTTACGCATTTGACTAGTTTGACATTAGTTAGAATATCCATATTTCCATCCTGTTGACTGTAGTTGACTAAAAATGCTTGGCAGGACACAAAAACAAAAACAGTACAGACCAGCATTACTTCTACGCAGGTCTGGCGCTGGGCACCTACAGCTTCCCTTGCTGCTGACCAACACACCAGCATCCATAACACAACACGTGGTTTATTTGGTGACCAGCTATGCTGATTTTTCAGGCTAGGCCTCTCATTCAAATACAGCTTTTAAGTGGTTAGATCACCACTGATGGTCATGTTGATGAAACTTGTATTTGGTATAGTGTAGTGGAAAACACAGCTTTCTTCAGAGCAGTCCTCATGCTTTTGTTACGTTAAAGAAATGCCTGCACCTGCATTCGACATAATCGACGCTCAGGAGTCTGAAAATTGAATATATCGCTGCTGTCGGAAGAAAACCTCATCTCTCCATTTTTGTTGTTTTCCAGTTTTTGACATAATCTGAAAGTGCCTTTTGACGTTTACATTGTGTGTAAATTTCAAGAATAATGGACCAAAAATGATTTGGTAAAGAGTCTGGTTCCTCTGACTTACACTAAAAGTGTGTTTTTTCCTTTTCCTGTAAAGTTATGATTTTGGAGATACAAGGTTTTCTTCTAACAGTGATATATATGCGGACAGGTTCAGGCTCTCTATGGGACGGCTTGTGAAGAGGAAACCAGTCAGACGGCACCACCAGGCCCTATTATATAAGGACAGCCCATTAATGCCTGCTGAGAAAGCCATGCACTGCTCACTGGCAAATATAAGAACACATTTATTAAGTCACCACTTTGGCTCAATAGCACTTTTTCTCTACATTAAAAGTTAACAATCCTGTAAGATTCAAAATCGACCCAAGTACTGAAGTGCTCATATAGAGCTTTGTAAAATCCAAATAAGCCCTTTGTCTTTTACTGCCTTACAATCAGCTTTTTACCATCATCAACTAGTCTCAAATGTTGAGAAAACCAAGTTTATGCTGTTTTCCAGAGCCTCTAACATTGATCTGCTAAAATCACACCCTGAAGGGATCTGCTCTCGTGTAAACTGAGGCGAAAACTTGGAACCTCTTGGAACTAAGTTAGTGGTTGTGGCTGAAATCTTACCCTATGAAACCCTCAAATAAAATAATAATAATAATAAAAAAACATCACTTCATTAACAGCTACCAGCGCTGCTCTGTAGGCGACCCTGCCAGTCTGCAGTGACAGCAGAGGAGGGTAAAGTTCAGCTCCTCACTGCTGGGCTTCAGTTACATTTAGGGACTCATATGACTTCAAAGAGGGGGGCAATTATTTATTATCACCCACCACTAATTCTTCAGTGATATGAAGCTGAAGTCAGATATTCACCAGATTCTTATTCGAATTTTCCCGTTCCAGTTATATTCTGGCGCTTCAGGCGTCAGAACTGCTGGACTATTTAAGGTGGAACGGGAAAGTTAGCTAGCTAGCTAGACATTGGCATGCTATTAGCGATTTTTATGCTTGTTATGAAGAAAAGACCATAATACACTGAAACTACATTAAACTAAGATATTATTATGGTTATCGTGATTTTTAACAGAGGAAATTCTCACATTTGTGTGTTTCTTTGGTCTCTTGTTCTCCGTCTCGCTGGTTTTTCTTTTTTTCTCATAACTCTCTGTTTGGAGTCTCTGAAAAACCTCCGTTTGGAGGGTCATGTAGCCCCAACACTTCACCCTCCCCCTCTATCTCAACAAGAATCGGAACACCCTACCCCTAGACGTGAAGCGCAAAACAGAGGGCGAAGGGCTCAGTGGTAGGAGCGAGGGGTGAAATGGGACTGGGCCTAAGTTTCATGTACTGAAACAAAGTACGTTTCCCACACAAGGAGGAAGACTGTTGAGGCAACACTACTGTCTACAGTGGATTAAGATATGATATACAGAAATGCAGCTACTCTAAAATCTCTACACTCTGTATCCACTCCGCTTTAAGGCCCAGTCCCATTTCACCCCTCGTTTTGCATGTTCATGTCTAGGAGTCGGGTGTCCTGATTCTTGTTGAGATAGAGGTGTAGGGTGAAGTAACTGTCTCAGGGTCTTTAGGTTCATCTTTTTCACTCACCATTATTAATCTGTTTTAACATCCTGCCACGACATTTAAAGCACAACAGAAACAGCCACGTGTACATCAAAATAAAACAAATGATTTCTCCACCTAATTTGATGCATCCACTGCTATAACTACCTCTATAGTAGAAGAAAAACACTCAAGAAAAACACAAAATCGACGTTCATTTTTTTATTTTATTTTACAAAGAAACTCCAGACGTCCATCTCTGAGCTTAGATGTTCCTGTCAGAAGAAGAGAAAATAATTAGAGACTATAAACGACACTCGAGAGACTGTCAGTAGACTTTACTCCAACGCGTTGTCAAATTACAGCCCTGATATATTATAACCGCCCCAAATATCACAGGCTTTCAGTTTATTAGGGCTGCAACAAATATTCAAATCCTGAAATGGGAACTAAATCATTATTCAAAGATCTGAAAATCATCTGAAGGTGAGTATCAGTCTTTACGCCAGCTGCAGTCCAAGTTTCCTGCTAGTCTGCACTGCTGGCTGGCTGAACAGCAGGACGTAAGAGTTGACTTTAGTACATGTTCTGGTAGAAAACAGACTTTCCAGTGACAAAATCTTGAACATGGTCACTCATCGGTCACTGAAACTGTTTCCATTTTGTACAGATGCCGTTTCCTGTCCAGCACCAGTGTCAGCTCCTTCAGTTCCGTGTTGTCAGATTAGAAAGGAACTTGCTATAAAACAGCTGTTTGTTTTTTCATTACCATGTAGTTTTCCAATTCTCTCAAAAACATAAATGACAGGCAAAAAACTAAATTCATGCAACGGTATGAAAAAATTAAATTCTGTTCTTTTTTTTCATGCAACATTGTCTTTAGCTTTGATTCGTCAAACAGCTTCAATAAAATACCTGACAGAATATTTTTAAATGAACATTCAACAGTTGCAGCTCTACGTTTTATCATACATTTAAACTCTGCCTTTGAGTATTTATTACATTCAGACCGTTAACAAAATCATAATCCAGTATACATAGAAAAACTAAATTCTCTGAGAAGGTTAGTTTGACATGGTGGGCACCCGTCATACTAACACAAGCCCATCACAGCCAACGATGTCTTTTATAATCAAAGAAACTTACTTGGACACAATAGCATCGTTCTTTGCTAGCCTCAGCAGAGAGTCATCAGCCTCGCCCTGTGGATGGCAAAAATGAATGTTTACTGCTGCACAACTATTCCTGGCTGTATTACATGCAAAATATTATCAGAATAAAGTTTTATTTTAAAGGTTTTACACCCAGTGATTCATTCAGCTTTCATATACAATACAATCAATACAATTTGTGTATGATAGAACAAAAGCTACCCTGACAGAAAGAAACCTGTGCTTAGCACAGATTGAATTTATGTGAAATTAAGACTTTCGTTTACTGTAATTTCAAGTTTCCAGATGATGTGAACAGGCAGATTCAAGTACTGAGGTGTGCAATAACACACTAAAGTTTCCATGTACATATTTATAACAATGAAACTAATTCTTTTCCTTCGTCTGATCATATTTAGAATTTATTAGCAAATTGTATATGAAGATGATCCGAATTCAAGAAATAAAAGACTGCAGCTATAAGAATGTCTACACACCTTTTGGGAAGAGGTTTTATACCCTAATATCTCCATCTACTACCTATCACAGCAACAGTGATCTCGTGTGGTGAGATCTGTTGACTAGTGGTGTTAAAAACTTGTTAAAACAAATTTCAGAACATTTCCTGAATTGCTGCCATTTCTAAATACTACAAATGACTACATTAGTTCATATTATACTCTTCCACCAAAGCAAATGAGTTTCATTCTTTTGCATCTTTATCACTGTTTACATATCACTGCATTCTCATCAGCCTACAACCCACAAGGTCAGCGCTTCCTACCGAGTGCACTCACTCACACCTGACGTCGGGGAACAATCGGGTCTTGACCGAATGCTCAATTACAGCTACAGAACTTTTAAAAACACAGCTAAAACAGCTCAAACTTACCATTTTGCGAATGGCGCCACAGATGGCGTAGGTTTTGAACTGTCCGTTGAACCTGCCTGTGACCTTGTCAACCTGAGAACGTTAAAGCAAAAATGTTCAGAACTGGTCAGTTTCTGACATGCAAGTGAACTGGAACAGCTACCAACTGAGCAAAGTAGTCTGCAAATGTAACGTTAGCAAACAGGAACAATGTACACCAAAGTACCAGAATCCATTAATTTAATGAGCAGGATGAAGTGGGGGCACACTGTACTGTACACGTCCTCGGTTCTAAGGAAATACTTTAGAGCAGGGGTGTCAAACTCAACGAGTAAAAGGGTCATATCAGAAAATCTCAACAAATCTGTGGGCCAGAGGAAAAAGTTTTTATTTCATTTTTAATGAATGTTGTGCTGGAACCCGAACCAGCTATTGTTTATTCAAAATACTCACAAACGTCAACAGTAAAATAAAGGCACTTGTAACAGACCTTAACATATTACATAAATATGTGAAATATTCAACATCTAAACGTCTCCAGGAGCTCAGTGTTTTAAACCTACCTATGATGTTAAGTGTTTATGCTGATTGAACTGCAGCTAGTGTGTTTGGTGACATGACTGGTGTGGAACTGTGTGAAAATTGTGTGGAATTGAAGTGTAACCACTGTTGTTGGGGTGGGAGAGTCAGAGTGCACAGAGCGTTGCAGTGCATGCTGGGGACTGTAGTGCAGCGCATTGTAAAACAGGCTAACCTTATTCTCCAGGGTGTATTTTATTTTTTCCATCTGAATTCACATGCCCAAATCATAAGGCAAATTATTCAGTAACTGCATGAAATAAATGTGTAAAAGCTCCCCTCCAATTAACAGAACATGTGTTTTATCATCATAAACATATTACTATATGCTTAAAATTCACTGCTGAAGGCCAAAAATCTTAGACGCTCTTTGTATTATTTTATAAAAATAATGTTTACAGAGCAGATCACTGAAGAGACGCCATCTGTTTATAGTTTACAGCCCAGATTTGTGGAAAAATGGGTCGACTTTCAGTAGAACAAAAAAAATTCAGTTCAGCTTCTTTTATTATAAGGGTTTAAAATTACATCACCATCTATTTGACTGGAAAGAAGACAGTTACAGCCTCATATGACCCCCACCTTTAGAATGTAGCTTATAAATATGAAACTTATGAAGAATATGACGAAGTGCGTTTTGGAACCACCGGTGGTCCCAAGGAGTTGGAAAGGCTAATATTAACAGAAAATTGAAATACTTCTGCGAGCCAGAGAGGACTGTGTCACAGGCCTGATCTGAGCGCCTTGCATTTGAGTCATGGGCTTTAAGGGGTAATAATGAAGTGTGTACTTCAGTAAAGCCTTAACTGTTAGTTCTATATCCCTCATATATCCATCTCTCAATGAATGGGCTCATTATTATTCTCTCATTATTATAATCAAACACAGGCTGACGGGCATGCCACTCCCTTACCTCAGCAATGTTAATCTGGATAGAGGCATGGTCCTTCGCTCCAATGATTCTGTTGCTAGCAGAGCTGCAGAGCAAAGAAAGAAAGCTTTATATTTTGCACTCTTAACTACATTTTAAGCACCAACAATCAAAGGGCAATCAAACCATGAAATAATCCAATCACTACCATAAAACAGCTTCGACAGCATATAAGGAAAGAAAGAGTTAACTAAAACAATAAAAAACGCACAAACGATAAATCGTCTTACCATTTGCGGGGCACGTACAGGTCCACGAATTCACCGGCGTCGTTCTGCATGTTGAGTTTTTCTGGTGGCCGTTAAGGGCTTGAAGAGCTAAACACATTCAGACAAGACGACACGTTACTCTGTGGTTAAAATTTTTTTAATAAAAAAAGTTAGACATAACGTTCCCTCGCAAAATATATGCACGTCAGACAGCAAGCAAACGTAGGACCAGAGATGCCCAACGACACTGCCTACAATAATAATAGTAGTAGGTTGAACTCATTTCACAAACGCAAGGGCACCTTACACGCTGCCCAAAACATCTACAAGACTAAAGAGAAGGATGGGTTTTAGCAGATTTGAAGGAAGACACAGAAGAGCATTGTGAAGAGTGGAAGGTAGAGAATTCCAGTTTGGGGGAGCAGCACTGGAGGATCTGCCACCCATAACAGAAACACTATCAGAGCATCAGAGCTGATTTTAGCATATTTAACGTTAAAAGCCGTTTCCCAGTTCCTCCAGTCTGCGCTGAGTTTGTTCAGCTGTTCTCTGCAGTGTCTGTAAACGGGGCTTTCACTGTCCGAGGAAACTCGACCTCAGGTCCAGTCCGAGTCACTAACAGCAGAATCATGTTTGATTTAGAGAAGCGACACATCTTTATATTTCAATCCTACATCAAGGTAAAATTCGCTGAGCTGCGTCGTGTCCGAGTAAACCGCTGCATCGTAATGCAAAACATCTGGCATTTTTAAATTTTTTAACCACGGCTCCATAAAAACCAGACAGACAGGAACTAAAGCTACAGAACCGCCCGGTCTTAGACATCGAACCACCACGGACCCGTTAATAAGTAACACCCACGGCTGCGTCGCCCCAGCTCGGTAACCTCGTTTATTCAAACCCCCTTTAACTTAACCGCGTTAATGATGTTGACTGACCCGGCGGACGGCGGTACAGAACCGGGTAATCAGAGTATCAGAGAAAACGGCCGGCGGTACCGAACCGGGTAATCAGAGTAAACGGACGGCGGTACCGAACCCGGTTATCAGAGAAAACGGCCGTCGGTACCGAACCGGGTAATCAGAGTATCAGAGTAAACGGCCGGGAGCGCTAAGCTAACCGGCTAACGGCGCGAGGCCCGGCGCACGTGCAGCAACACGATCACCTAAACACCGCCCGGATTAACGAGCCTTATTCACCCCCATACACCCCCCGCACCCCACACAGCCGCACTGCACGCGCGCGGAGCGGACGGGGGGGAAACGGCCGGGTTATTAACCGATTAGACGGAATTCGGTGCGGCGCGCGCTCTCCGCTCACCTCGCTCCGCGAAAGGCTGACGCGAAAAGGAAGAGGCTCGGAGCAGGAGGAAGTGACATAAGCGGGGTCAGGATGGAAGGAGAGCAGACGGCCCAGAGCCGCTCAGTGAAACAGCGCCGCTTAGCGTTCGCGAACCATTACTGCGCATAGATGTCCATTCCGAGGTGCCGCGCTGTTTGCTGTTCTCCATCTGTGGCGGTACGGCTGCGCGTCCGCCATGTTGGAGAGGTCAAGATCCGCTTGTGAACAAATTCACTTGTATTGACAGACGAAGAGTCTCAGGATTAAATCAGCCACAACTTCCTTATTGCTCAACCGATTTTCACCAAATCTGTTTAGTTATAATCCTCAGACACAGATTAATCCAGGCTGCACGGATCTGCGCTCGGTAGCTTTTATTACTTTAATAACTGATCGTGATAATTCGCCGTCCGGACCAGCTGGACAGTATTCAGTCTGGACCTGATGTTAAAGTTTAGAGTTTAGCGCTAGAAACACAATCAGACACATCAGCAAATCATCAATGTGTGAATCACTTCTAATCTTAATATATCAAAATAAAATAAACCCCCAAACACAGTAAGAAGGACGAAGCAGAAGTTGGCTTCTTTCTCGCCAGCTTCCTGTTTGAATTTTCCCGTTCCACCTTAAATGGTGCAGCAGTCACTCTCTGGTGCCTGAAGCTGGACCATTTAAGGTGATGCTGGAAAATTCGAACAAGAAGCTGGAGAATAAGAAACTGACTTCAGCTTCGTGTAAGAAGATGCTAATCTATAATGGATACACGGACTAAGGAATGCTTACCGAGCTCCAAAGCTTTAACCATCACTGTAAATAAATAACTACTACATAAAGTTCACACAGTTTCGAGCTGTTCCACACATCACACAGACATGAGTGTGGATCACTGCGTTCCCTCCGTTATATAATCCTATCCCACTTTCTGATAGTAATATTCCTGAAATAGTGTAATTTTGGACAGTATCTTTCTTAAACTGCTGCTCTGTAATGGTACTGAATGCAGTCCAGCAGCGATGTTGACCGCCCCAAAATGGCGGCGCCGTTGACGTGCTTGGCTGGACACAGCGCTGCATCTAGGTATGAATATCTATGTAACTACGTGATGGAAACATGAATAAAAACTTATTACTGACCCTGAGTGGTGGACGTAGTACACAAACCATGTACTTGAGTTAAAGTAGAAGTCCTCCAGTAAAAGGAGAAGTTCCTCCCTTTAGACCTTCACTTGAGTAAAAGTACAAAAGTATTCACCTTCAAATGTACTTAAGTATCAAAAGTGAAAGTACTAAAAGATTAATTATGACTCTGATGTCCTATTACCATTTTTGTAACAAGACTCTTGCTTTATCAACTCATTTTAGGTGAAAATACTCCAGTGTCACTCTTGTAACAACAATATTTTAATAGAATGTCATTAATTAGTCTGACGCTGATGTCTATTAAAATGATCAAAAGCATTGATGATTGGTGTACTTGCTTCAGGCTTCTTTCATTTTGACATATTACATGTTTTTGCACGCATAAGCCAAAAGGAACAAAATATTTCACATAATGTAGTGGAGTAAAAAGTAAGATATTTGACTTTGAAATGTAGTGGAGTGAAAATAAAAATGGAAAAACATCAGTAAATTACAGATGCACGAAAAAAGTACTGAAGTACAGTAGCGAAATATATTTACTTTGTTACCGTCCACCACTGCTGACCCTATTAAATATTAACATTATTATTAAAATACATCTACTGGGCGTTCTCTATCAGGAACGTATTGTTGAGATGCTTGTGATGGAAATACGTGAAATATTACCACAGCTAGCTAAAGTTCATGTTAATTTTTTTTTGTGATCAATTTTTATTTGTTTTCTGTTTATCAAGCAGCTCTTTATCACAGCGTTACAGAACTGAAGGAAATAAAAAAAACAACCCCCTTTCCCAACCCATCCCTCCCCATCCCACCGGTCCATCCATCCCTGTTTCCTGAACATAATTTTCTAACAATTTACTAAACAAGATTTAATGAAAAGGATGAGATTCCAAAAAACAAGATTAAAAAAGAGAGAGAGGAGAAAAGAATGTTAGCCTATAAGATGTACATCACAACATTTGTTCCAATCTTTTCGTCACATCGCAACAAATCTGTTTCCATGTTCCAAGAGTAGGTGTTTTAGCTTTATTAATCCTAGTTGTGGCCAATTCTAACATAACTATGTCATGCAGTTGATGTGGGTGAAGCCGCCTCTGTGCAATGGTTTTTAGCTGATGTTAAACCAGCGAGCCAAATCTTCCTTTGTTTGCTGAAGTTCACTTTCATAAAAGCATCTCCAAAATTTACGTCTATGATTTGCATAGATTGAAGGTGATGAGTCTTTTTTAATTCCTTCACTCTCTACAGCTTATGCTCTTGTATAGAATAGCACTGTTGTCCTTTATGATACATATAATTTTTTTTTGTTAATGGTTTTAAATGACTGTGTTTTTGTGCTTAATACAAAGAACAAAGACTGGATTTTCACCAATGCACCAGTACAAGCTAACTGCAAACGTGTCTAGAATTCATTTCAAATTTTAGGGAAAAATTACAATGGAAAAATGACTTTAATAAAGGTGTTGTTCAGTTCAGTTTCTATTAAAGGTTTTAGATCCACAGGGAGTCAAGCTGAGACACAGAAATCACCCGACGCAGGCTGTACAGGAATCCTGGTCCTGACTTCACCCAAATAAACATTCTTAAAAAGCCTTCCATTAACGCAGACACTGCAGGGTTCAGTTTTTGCTGTGTTGTTTAAGATGCTCAGTGGGAATTACGCAATAAAAGCATATGTTTGTGCTTCGTGTGCATGGCAACTGTGAAAAGCTACATTGATCTACTAGATCTTAATATTAGAGTTTATTAAATAAAACGGATCAGATACTGAATGACGAGACCTGTTTTTGTTCCATTTGCCAGTCCAGGAGCAGATTTCACTTTACATGAAAGATGGTGATGTAGGTTTCATTGTATACATGTAGATGGTGATGTCTCCCTGCTGTGGTGGCATATTTCACACAGCAAATTTAGTGGAAGGTTTCTGCTTCACTTTTTTACACTAGTTGCTCACAAGTGAAAAGGAGGCTTTGCACATGGAAAATGTCTTCTTTAAGTTGGGCTTAATTTACACAATGTTTAGCCTGTTTTTGACTCTGATATGGCCTTTCAGACACATGTTCACAATCAGAAACGAATTTTCCAATTCAGGAGCCCGACTAGAAGCGATTGATGGCCTGGATGATCTGGCAGTGTGAGAGGAGTAACGAGTCCGTCTTTATCCTTCTGATTGAGGTCCTGAGGAATTGGAGGCTGTCCAATATTTTCAAACATGCTTGAGTTTTGTGACTTAAAACATTCATGAGTCCTGTAGTGTAAGATGATCTATGATGTAATTGAATGAGGGATTTAGGCAACAGCCAATGAGGGGAGAGAAAAAAGTCAACAAGGCTCAAATGCACATGGACCAAAGAGTTAGAGGAGCTGCTTGTTGACCACAAGCAAAGAGTCACAATCTTTACTTTTTCAGGTCAGCTGCCAGCTTGTAGTCCAACATTTCTCCCCCTCTCAGGGTGAAATCTGTGTTTCTCAGCCACATTTTCATCTACTGTTTGCATTTCTGCTACTGTTAAGTATAAATACTCAAACACGTCTGGTCAAGTTTAGCTTTGTTTGTATCACATGATAACAGTGCAGCTCTCAAGAAGCAGGATTTGTGGCTTAGCCAGCTAATTTGAAGCTTAGTTTGACCTAAACTGTAGCAGCTCATACTGAACACCTAACTTGCTCCAGAGCAGATTAAGATCTGAACTTCTGATCAGAAACAGCTTTTGGACCAATTAGGATAAGCTTCTGACCAATCAGGGATCTCTTAAGTGAGGTTTATTTGTGATGTTTTCAGTGTCGATCACATGAAGAATGTCACTATTTAGCAGAGGAAGCAAATCATAGACATCCATTATTACTCCAGTAAGCGCTAGCATGCATACAGCATAAACGTGCTCACAGAGCCGCCTTTCACGCCGCTAAGTGCCCAGTGTCAGTGCCCCTCCTGTCACTTGGGTGGGACCCACATCTCAGTGCCTTTAGTCAGGGAACATAACTGAACCATAATCCACTGAATGATATGTTCTAAGCTGTACTGACTCCACACACCCCGTCTCGTCTCCAGGCTTTTATTTTACTGTTCTGTTTAAAACATTCGGTTATGAAAAGGTACAAATACGAACTTTTCACCTGGAAAAACTTATTTAAGGTTCACAATCAGACCTTAAAACCACTGTTGGAGCTTAGAGGAACAGAAATGTACCTGAACAGAACCTTTATTTCTAACAGTGTAGCTGCCCTGGTCTCGTTTCTTGTCTAGGATCTTTCTGTTTATCTTCAGTTACTCCTATACTTAAGACCCCTCAAATTTGAAAAACAACCATCCCAGCTCTAATCTTCCATTTTTGTCAAAAGTTTTCAAAGGAGTCGTTGCCAATCAACTCCGAGTTCACAGTGTCCGAGTTTACAAGTTTATATTCTCTTCAAACCTTTCCAGTCAGGATTCTGTCCATTCCACAGCACTGAAACTGCTTCGATTAAGCTTATCAATGATCTTCTGTGATGTGTGTTTGCAGATGCTGGTGTTCTTAGCATGCTTATTTGATTTAGATGCAGTGTGTCACTCGACCCTCCTGTCTAAACTGCATGAACTGGGCACTGACTGATCTGCCCTGGACTGGTTCACATCTTAACTGGTAGAAAGAAGTTAATTACTCTCTCTGGCTATACTTCCTCTACCTCTGCTGTCACTCAAAGGGGTTCCACAGGGTTCAGTCCTAGGCCCTCTCTTGTTTTTTTTATCTATATGCTCCCTTTTAGTCATATGTCACTTTAAACTGGATTTTCACTGTTATGCGGATGACACCTGATTTATTTATGACTTACCTCCATTAAAAATCCTTTTTACACATTTACAAAGATTTTTTTCTTGTTCTTTTTCTTATCATTTGGGATGCACACCTGCACACAGATCTGAAAAATAGCTCAAGACCATTATCCCTCCTCCATCAAACC